GAACTCAAATGTATATTGTGTTGATTTGGTCCCTCCAATGATGATGTTTTTTAGTTAGTTTTTTCATTGATTGAAAAAAGCTTTATCAGGGACCCACAGGGATTTTTCTGATCACCTTCTTCCATCTGCAGCAATGTCAAAACTCCCAGGAGATTTGATAAGACTTTAAATCCCGAGTTTTAGATCCTAGTAATAGGAACAGTTTGAGGCAAGAATCTGTCCAGTCAAACACTTCCAAAGAGTTGCAGTGGATGACTTTAAACATGTATTTTTTTATGTATATAGAGTTGTTTTAACCCTCACAGACCTGCAGCTTTGTCTGACATGATTATTATGGACATCATTTCTTTGTTGCCTTTAATAGTGCACTTTCTGAGCTGTCTGGTGTCTGATGCTTTGGTTTTCAGTCATGATGTCTGTCCTTTAAGCAGCACCACAGCTTGGACCTGGATAACTCAGAATTTGTCTATGGTTTTCCATTAGCAGAAAACGTGGTGCTGGGTAATACTTAGGGCCATCTTTGGTATCACCACTGAGGAGCTGCAAAAACGACCTGAGCCGATCCTAAAAAAGTGGAGATTCAGTGTACCACTAACACAGGAAGTTCCTGAAACAATTTAGATTATGCTACAACTTGAAAATGATCAAGATTCTCAGCAAAAGAAACACAATTCTCTATGAAAAATTACCACACTCCTTTTTTTCTGAACTCAAATGATATTGTGTTTATTTGCACGGTGTTGATTTGGTCCCTCCAATGATGATGTAACCGCAGGTACACTTAGCTATCAGTTGTTAAGGGAGAGCTATTTGAGGGCGAAAAAGTAAGAAAAGCCTTGAATACAAACAGTGTCCCGATTCATGGAAATGAGGCTTCAGTCTGCAAATGGAGCAGTGAACACAACTTGAAGTTCATGCCTCTGCAGATCTAGAGTTATCTGGATGTGAAAATCATCTTCCCTACAAAGATAGACAGTCTAGGGCAACTATTCATGCAGAAGTTCTGGTTTTCAAATGCAAATAGTAATCCATAATGTACCACAAAGTGAAATTGTAGTTGCTGATATTTGGAGTTCAACATCAAACCTTTCATGAAGAAGATGTATCAGAGTTTGAACAAACTTTGTTACTTGAAAAATGTCCCTTCAACTCAAGAAACATTTGTGCGGCTGGTTGTTCGAGCTCCTTTATTTCAATCTGTCCGTCAGACTTTTTCATTTCATGGCATAGAGACAGCTGATGGTGCAGAAGTATTTCAGATTTATCTGTGAATGTCTGAGAAATAGAACAGAGGAGTGACGCACAACATATTTACTCCACAGACAGCATGAAAAGATCTGCAGACTCCTCTCTTTTAAGAAGGAATGGCTTTTCTGATATTTTTTAAAGGAGAATTACCTTTAAATCTTCTGCATAAGAGCAATGATAGATGCTGAATGAATTGCAGTTCGCAGGATGCACATGCTCTAAGCAACGTGCATCATGGGTATTTGCTCAAAAAGAGGTACAATATATCCAGCATGAGGAGCCCACGTGATCAGAACAACAGTGCGTGCTAAGATACAAACAAAGTAGCAAGGAGTAGGAGTGATGTCGGCCTGGTGGTAGTATTTTTTTGTTAAAGTCTGAAAAAGACGTTGCAGCTGAGTGCAAAACGTGTCATGCACAAGAGTCCATTCCAGACTCCACTCCAGCACCTCGAGCAAGCAATGTCCAGATCCAGCATGAGGAGCCCACGTGATCAGAACAACAGTGCGTGCTAAGATACGAACAAAGTAGCAAGGAGAAGGTTGTACCGCGACGCCCCTAGTTTCTAACATACTTCAGTTTTCTTACATGGTTCTCTAACACAATCCCAGTCAGCTCAGATCTTGGCTAATCATGAATTAAGATTTTGACATGAACAGAAAAGGGAGCACAGTTTAATAACCTAATATACAGTTTGTTGACCTGCTGTCAGAGCGTGACCTGATATAAACCCAGGGACAGCCACACTGACCCCCAGATGAAATCCATGCAGCTCGAATCCATCGGCAGCCTGTCTGCTCACCAGCTAATAAAACACGACAGGATCAATAAAAGATGTAAAGAGATGGAGATTTTGATTAAGCTGACTTCTTTACATCTTCAAAATTATGGTGAGCTGGTGTGTAGATTTGATTTTTTATCCCTTAGGATCAGAAAGCACACCTCTGATTACTTACTCAAACATTAAGAAACATTAACATGGATGTAAAAATAGGCTGAAAACTGTCTTTATCTGTCATAAGCAGCTGTGAGTTGGAGATACCGCTCTGAGCCATTACATTGGGAAAAATCTCCTGTCCTATTTGCAGAATTTCAGAGCTAATCACCTTGTTTCTCAGCTTTTAGGCATACCCAGGACAGAATGATAAAAGTGTCAGACTGGGTAAAGAGGGCTTTGTGTGATGGAGGAAAGGATTTCTTCTTAAAGCCTGATTTTTACAGCCACTTCATCTCTGTTAGGACGGCAGCAGCAGAAAGCGATGGAGTCTGAGAGCTTCAGTCTGACCGTCAGTGAGCTGAAACTGCATTGACATGGTTACACAGTAAATCAGCCAATCCACAGCTGCTGCAGATAAATCTCTGCTGTTTCTGTGTGGACCGGTGCGTACACTGATCATATAATTTATTCCACACATCAGCGCTGACATGTCTCTCTGATGAAAGTACTTCTATATCTCTAACAGTCTGCCATGAATGACTTATTGATGAGCGAACAATGACAGCGGATGATATGTTGATGAGTCTCCTTGACATTTCCACCATTCGGGCTTTGATTCTTTTGTTCCATCAGGAAATCAGCTGTCTATTTTATCTGTGAATCGGTGCGTTTTTGGATGTTTTTCTATAGTGATGAGTCTGTTAGTGTGTCCGTCTGTGGATGTTTGTCTGTGTACGTCAGATCTGTGAAGGACAGGGGATCTGTCCCAACTCTCTGACCCCTCACCACCTTATATGAGACCATTAGAGCTTTTTAAACTCATCTCTATACTGTTTTTCTACATCAGTTTTATGCATTTTGAAACCCAAGTTAGATTTAAATCTGTTTATAACACATAAATCTGTTTCTTTAGCACATTGCAGATTGACATTTTGAACACAGCAGGGTGTAATTTTCAAACTTTTTTTTTTATTCAAGCCAAAGAAAAATCTGTCTTTAAAGATCAGAAGAGGGGGTTTGAAATTCTTCTGAGAAGTTTTAGTTACCACAACACCGACTAAAATCAATTTTTGCACGAGCTATAAAAGTGGACCAGACCACCACAGGAAAAGCTGGTAATTTCCTGAGGCACCTGAGGCATAATGTGGATTATCATGAGCTATAACAAGCAGATTATTTTTATGTTTAGTAATTTTTGTGTTTCTAAATGCATCACTTGTGCATACCTGAGGGTAGCAAAGGTTAAGATGCACACACTCTACTGGCATAACTTTTGGAAACAATAAAAAACATTGACCAGATCTGAGTCTTCATTTCTCCTTTAAATTTTTTGTGAACAAGAGCTATCCTGTGCATTTGATAACTTCTTTTTTCATGTTTAAGTCTCCTTCTAGCTGCGGAGCCGTCAAACTGAGCAGCAACTCACTGCTGTGATTGCAGGAAGGAGACCCAGGGCACTGACAGTCTGAGAGCACCACCTGCTGGAGGTACTGGAGTCAAATCTCACTGTTTTGTGCCTATTACTCCTTCATAATTAAAGAAAACCGTTCTTTAAAGAGAGTTGTGCAGTAGTTTATATGCATGTCTTTACTTATCTTGCTTTCTTTGCAGTAAAAATCCTTGATCCACGCAGAGTTTTCAGTAAAGACTACCAAAGGAAATAACTTCTTTCAAGAAGGAAAGAAGAGAAATTGCAAAACATTTTTTATTCTGTGTAATATTTAAAATCTATCATACATTCTTCTCAACATGCTAATATTTTAGACCTTTCTGACCTTTCTGTTTGTGCTTTGTGTGACTGTCTTTCTCTACTGAAAGTTTTGATGGCTTTTAAGATTGTTTTATGTTAAAATTTTAAACTTAAATGATTTTGAAAAGGGCTACAAGTAAAAATTACAACTATTATAACTGTGTATTTTTTTTTGTCCTGGGAATATTACAATGTGCTTCATCTGAAACCCTCATGGTTCATGACTGATATCAGTTTTTCAGTGGTTGGTGCTGATGAGGGAGCAGGGCAGCTGAGTGCTTATGTTTGATGCCGATATCACATTGTGTTTTTTTCCCACTATAATAACATTACCAATTCAGAGAGGAATGTTTAATATGAAAATTTTTTTTGTTATATAAAAAAATAAGTAAAATAAGGCCACAAGCGACTTTTAGGTTTCAGTCCACCTTTCTGAATTTAGCAAGAAAAAAAGATAAAGGTAGCCTAAATATGAATGTGATAATAAAACTTTTTTATTCTATGCATCCATTTTTGTTAAACCCTAGGCAGTAACTGTTTTAGATCTGCAATGCTGTCAAATTCATTTTCAAATTGGAGAGATGATAGTGATACTGGCCTTGCACAGGTCAGTGCCAATTTGATCCCAGTTACATCAATCAATTGTAAATGATTTACTGTTGGGCCGAAACTTGCACGAAAATATGATTGAAAAACTTCTTTGAAAATATGTTACTGTAATAGATATTAACTGTAAACTAACTGGAAATTAATAAAGAAAGTAAACACTGCTCTGAATTAATTTTAATAATTTGTTAAATAAAGTTGTGAAAAGGATAAAACGCTGTTCTTTACTGTAAGGTTACCAAATTTGTTCGACCGTCAAGATTCAAACATTTTTAGTCTACATAAATTCTGATGTCTGTTTATCATTCAGTAAAACATCTGTCTGACTGAGGTATGGCCACGCGAGATTAGTGGGTCTACTCTGCGCCTGTTTATGTGAGGGCACGAGCTTCTCTCTGCCCATTTGTTGCCGTCTCATGACTAATAAAGTGACTCTAATTTTAGACAGAGTAAGTTATGAAATCATATTTCACGTCCCATCGCTGTCACTCTGTATCATACACGACTACAGCCGCATTTTGACTTTGGGCCTCGTCTCCTGTGACGCGAGGCCATTATTTTGAAAGTTCTCACCGGAAGTTGTCTATGCAGCAGCGCGGTTTGACACTGACCGGTGATGAATCGTGAGCCTCCTTTATGGTGATTAAAGATGGAACCGCCCGAAAACCAGCCCGGCCAGGTAGCGGGTGTGGAGCAGGAACCCACACCGAGCTCTATGGATGTGGACACGGCTGTGTTTCTGCTGGGAGCCGGGGTGACGGCCATTACACACCCGCTGCTCTATGTCAAGCTGCTAATACAGGTAACCGGCTAATGCGGCTAACTAGCTAACAGCAGCAATTAAAATGTTTTTTTTACATTCTACACTTTTTTCACCTGACCCCTCAAGTGTTTTGTAACACTCTTAATACTCAATCAGACTAAGGAACAACTGTGGACGACTGGAGGGGTGTAACGGCGATGTTTGTTACCCACACTGAACACTCCCCCCAAGCAGAGCGCGTGCTGTCAGTCATGTCAGGAGGACGATGAGGAAAGAAATGAACTGATTTAAGGGTTTAGAAAAGATTTAAAAGGTTAATTATTATATTATTAAATACTTTCCCTAACAAGAACATTGTTAGCATTAAAATAAGTGTAATATCTGACCACATAAGATACATAAACTAAAAGTGAAAGTTTATCAGGTTGAATCAGAACAATGCTACTGCTTATGGATGTGCTTCTCAGTATCCCTGCTGGGATAAAGATACCTCTAACTTTGTTTTTAAAAGTGTGTAGCCTCTCTGAAATAGTCAAGTCCACATATGAAGACATTATAACTGAATAGCCATCCCATAATAAGATACATTTGAAGCAAGCCAATAAGATCCTTATTTAACCCAGGATACGAGAATAGGGATGCTGCAGCTGCAAATTAAAATATCTAAAAAACATAAAATAAAACAGGGACAAATATGATATTAAAGTTATTATCTGATTCACACATTCTGATTCAGCTATTGTGGAGAAGAAACCAGGCCTCTATTTAAAACCACAATACTTACACTTGTCACATCTGGGCTAGATTATCTTGGAGAGGCTCAAGACTTTAAAATACAGTTTCAGATTCACAAAACCCAAACCTATAAATGGGCAGTTTTGCTAATTTCCCCACTGCTCTACCAAACTGGAGGTTCTGATCAAGTGCAACCAAAGCTAGTCTTGTCATCTGGTTAAGTGTACTTATGTTTATGCACAATGTGAACATGTAAACTGAACTTTCTGGGCTCTAATTTCGTGCCCGCCGGTGACATGGTGGACGGTTGCGAACCCTCCGCAGTGGTATTTTTGTCGAAAATTGTAATACGCCTCGCCGGGGGCGGATTTAAAGGTGGGGAGAGTAGCCGTTCTCATTGGCGAAAACAGGCCTCGGCTGTGTTAAACCCACTCCACGCCCTCTCCAATGGAATGTTGACAGTCTTAAATAACTTAAAGTCTGTGTTTAATCTGTGCTGTTTCAGGTGGGTCATGAACCTCTTCCTCCAATGGTTGGCACGACCATGTTTGGACGGAGAGTCCTGTACCTGCCTGGCTTCTTCTCCTATGGTAAGAGAGGTCTTATTATATCTTATCCTATTATTTCACAGGAAATTATTACTTGACAAGAGATTTTTTTTTTTAGCACAGCACATTGTGAAGGTGGACGGAAAGAGAGGACTCTTCCGCGGCCTCTCTCCTCGTATTGTGTCCAGCACCATCTCCACAGTGGTCAGGAGTAAAGTTAAACAGGTAACACAGCCTGAGAATAGGGAATAACTGCACATGTTGAAGTCTATCAGGTTATATGTCAATATGAATCAAATGTGAAGATCGTGCAGTATTTGAAAGAATTGAAGAGATTTTTGCAAATGAGAGTCTTTATAAATTAACTTGTATGCTGTGCGTGAGGCCTTGTGTGAGATTATATGTAGCAATTAAGAGTGACAGGCGTTTGTTTGAAGCACTAAAGATGATATCACAATGTTGTGAAAGGTGTCAGAGTTATTGAAACTGTTTTTTCTTCTCAGCAGGTGGAGCGTCTGTCCAAGACAGACAATGTGCAGAATTCACTCAGGAAGGTGTTTCAAGAGGTGAGATGTCAGCTGCTGTTGAATCTGTGGGATTAACCAGATTTCTCTATTCATGCAGTCAAACGAAAATGGTATATTATAGATATATAGACGGTCTCATCCTATTTTATGCTCAGTTGCACTTTTGAATTCAGACAGTCCATAAAGTGGACGTTGTTGCTCATGATGTGGATTAAAGAGATAAAACATTATGTCTGCAGACACTCAGTAGAGTCTGGTTGGCATATGAAAAGGGTTAGCATTAAGAGTAGAGCAGATAAAGTCATGAATGTTTGCTCACAAAGCCATAAAAATCTGATATCGACCACTTCTTCACCCCTGGTTGTCTCTCCTTGTTGTTTCCTCTCTTCAGACCTCACAGGAAATGATCATCCAGTGCCTGTCAAGAGTAGCTACTCATCCTTTCCATGGTAGGTCCTCATTAATCAGACGTGGTGGTGGTGGTGGTGGGGTAAGCAGAGACACACTCACCTGGGGAGGAAAAGCAAAGATATCTGCATTTTTTAAGTCCCCTGCTAAAGGTTCCCACTATGTTGGTAGAGAACCGGCTCTATAGTGGAGGTGACGTGGTGATTTCATTGTCAATATTTTATTTTTCATTAGATTATTAGATTAAAAATTATGCTGAAATAAGATCACTGATTCTCCTGTGTTGTCTTTGGAAGTTTTTTGGTAACTGGCCAATAACAACATAAAAAAAGGATCTGGAGCAGGAAGTTTTGACTCTTTCTCATCACTTAAACCTTTGTGGTGTTTTGCAGTCATGTCCGTGCGATGTATGGCCCAGTTTGTTGGGAGAGAGGTGAAATACGGGTAAGAATGTTGTTTGATTTCAGACTCTGTGAGATATCTGTAGACAAAGTTCAGAGTTGCTCAGATTAGAGCTGAAAACAGTTTATAGATCATATGGAAACTGTAGAAGTTGTGCACATATCGAAAGAGTTTCTCTCTCTCTTTTAGAGGCATGTTCAGCTGTATCGTCAAGATTTTTAAGGAAGAAGGAGTCGCTGGATTTTACATGTAAGTCATCGCTTTGAGTGTTACCTGGTAAAATTTCACTCTGCATGGAGTTCTCTGTGCTGCCTACTCAGCATCATAGGATTTTATACAATTCTTTTTAGGGATTTGCTTGTTTACAACTTGGATTTGTCTTTGTTCTTCACCTTTGTTAGCTGCTGTTTACTCTGCTGTGTAAAAAGTTTGCAGCCACTCTCTATCGCATTGTTTGTCTTTGCAGAGGAATAGTTCCCCATGTGCTCGGAGAAGTCCTCTTCCTCTGGTGCTGTAACCTCCTCGCTCACTTTATCAACACCTATGCTGTAGATGAAAGTGTGAGTATACCATTTAATCTACATTTAACCCTTTTTTTTTCAAGATGAAACTGCAACAAAGAACGTTTTATTTTTAACCTCCTCATCTGCAGCACATTACAAGTCCTGTTCTAACTCAAGAAGATGTTTTAACATGCTGAAGAGTTGACCTATGTGTGTGTGTGTGTGTGTGTGTGTGTGTGTTTTAGTTCAGCCAGGCCTCTGCAGTGAGAAGCTACACCAAGTTTGTGATGGGTGTAAGTCCAACATTCACATCCTTTCTTCAGTCATTCCTCAGCTGCAGCCTCTTTTCTTGACATCAAGTTTTCCTCCTCAGATCGCAGTGAGTGTCCTGACATATCCATTCATGCTGGTGGCGGATCTCATGGCGGTCAACAACTGTGGGTGAGTCAGACCTCAAATCCATCATCAGGAGTATTTACACCTTCACCACAGAGGAGAATCAATGTCAAAGAAAACACCACTTGTGTTTGTTTGCAGTTTGGCTGCAGGTCTCCCTCCTCACTCTCCCATCTTTCAGTCGTGGCTTCACTGCTGGAATCACCTGAGCCAAAAGGTAAAGTCTCTTAAATCGAGTCTGAAAGAGTCCAGATGCTGCATTAAAGCTGAAGCAGAAAGGATGATTATAAAAGACAAAAAAGCAAAGTCATTCTCAGACTGTCTGTTTTTTGTCTTTGCACTCACTTTTGATTCCGAGATTCAGGTTTAAATATAACGCAGAAACCAAGAACAAACTCAGTGTTTGTCTTTTCAGGGTCATCTCTTCAGAGGATCCAGCTTCTTTTTCCGCCGGGTGCCTGTGAGCTCCCAGCCCTCAATTGAGGACTGACATCTACATCATCATCACTTGCAGGGATATTTTTTTCTCCTCTTGCTCACAAACTTCTTCCAAAGACTCGGCCTGTTCATGAGGTGCCAATAGCTCTTCTTGTTCCAGGAGCTTTAGTTCGTTTCAGTGACAGGGACGGGGAGATGTCTCTCCTCTTTTGGTGGATGTTTTCTGCAGTTTGTATCAGGCCAGAAACAAATGCTGACCAAATGCTGTGAGGCTGCTGGGGCTCATGGGTAATATAGTTCTTAATTATTTGTGAGGAAATATTCGGATCTCCAAGTGGGAACATTTCCGACTGATAGCCAACTTTCTCTGAAGTCTTATTCATTTGTCTGTTTCTGTGTTTGAATTAAATAAAAGTAAATAGAGCAGTTACGATAAAACCTTCTGTATAAACAGTGATAGCCAACATCCAAAAACATGTTAGTTTAAAATTTTACAAATCAGATACCCACAGAAATGTATAGTTATTTTAAAGGTCATGTTACCATCCTACTTACACCCAGTTATGTCACTAACCTGTTGGAAATTAACCTCATCTGGTTGGAGATGTTGGTGACTACGTAACGTCACACACATTTCTGCCTGCATGGTTGTTCCTGTCATAACAAAAATAAGACTTTTTTCTTTCAAACCACAAAATTATTCAGTTTTAACATTTGATTTGTTGTCTTTGCACTTTATTTTAGGATTTGAATGATTTGCAGACCATCAGAGATCTGTTTTAATCAACACTTGAGTCCCAATAGTATTTCGATCAAAATTTAAGCTCCTGTGAGGACTTTGTGTTGAAGCTTGGCGCCTCCTGTAGCCAAAGCAGTACCTCATATTGTTGCTGAACTTCGTCCCGAATTTGTAAGTCACATTTTATTGTCATGATTTAATGTAGCCTCTCATTTTCCTCTCTATTAACAGTCAAAACAAATAAATCTCTCATGGAAGTAGATGTTTAAAATACAAAAGGCTGATACGATGACGTGCCATAAATTACTTTTCCTGACACTGACTCTTGGCTGGTTATCCAAAACTAACGCTGTGTACTCCTCTTCAAGGTCATACAGAGGCTCAGTAATAATTTCAGTTTGTTTTATAACCAGATAAAACTCCTCACAGGACCCTTGACTAAGCTGAGGTTGAGGATTCGTCACAAACATCATGTGCTGTGATTAAAGCTGGAAAATAACTTCAGTTTCAAATTTCCTGCAGTGATTTAAGGATTAAACCCTCCCCTCAGACCTCTATCAGCCTTTATTCCCAGTAAGCCTCCAGTCATCCTGACCAGTGACTCTCCTCTTTCACCAGTTTGTGCAGCTCATATGAAGCCTTTTCTGTTCAGGATCTAAGGGAAAGTCGAACAAACTGGCTGCTTCCGAACGCTCTTCAGTTTTCAAAACCACGTCTGTGTTTTTACTCAAGTTTAACCAACCTGATAAACACAAAATCAAACAAAAAAGGTATTAAATGTGTAAATGAAACGCATGAAAAATCCCATGGATGGAATATAAAGTCTTAAATATGATATAAGATATTAAAATATGTGACATGCTGTGGGTGTTAACAGTCAAGTTTGGTTTAATACCTGCTGGTTGAGTTTTTTGTATTGTTTTTTATTCCTCCATAAAGTCTGTGTTGCATATAAGTGTCTCCTCAGTGAAGGAGGTTTTAAAGCCATACACGTGTTCATGTTGTTACTGGATGTCGTTTGTGTCTGTTCCCTGATTTTAAGGCCTTTACACTGATACATAACTGATAAAGTTATGATGTTCATACTTTGACTCCAGTGAAGTTCAGACTGTCTGGCTGTGTTTATTTTTTATTTATGTATCTGCATTTTTTTTTCTCTGTTTGGATGGCAATAAAATCTTTGCTACTCAACAGTGACATGTCTCAGAGGTCATAATGAATGCTTGGTGCATGGCTCTCGAATGTCACGTTCTGGTGGGGGGATATGATCTAATGCACAGAGCTCCTGCAAAGGGTTAAATGCTGCACTGCACTACACTGCAGAGCAAACAGTGTCACTGTGTGCTGGTGCTGTTTGCATACATTTGAATGTGGCACTTGGGTTTCATTTGGAGCAAAATATACAACTATTCATGATCGAACAAGCCTGACTGCAAAATACACTAAGGTTGACTCTTAAAGCTCTTGTCTACTGCCTTAATAAAAACAAAGAGGGAGAGCTGGCCTTAATAGAAAAAAAAACTACAGAGACAGATTTATTAAACAATAAGTCAAAATAATGTTCAAAAGTTATTCAATTCAAAGTCTAAACTGTGAGATAGAAAGTTATTTTCTACTAAAGACATGAAATGGAAAAGAAAAGTCAAGACACAGAAGGTCAAAAAATTTCTTATAAACTTAATTTGGACCTTTTATATAAAACTGACCTTCATCTCACCATTTTTATTAGTTATATACAATTTTGACCTTTATCTCCTAAGAATGGCTTTTTAGTCATGAATATGTCTTTTAAACACAATGTAGATTCCTTTTCTCACAAAATTTTCTTTTTATCTAAATTTTTCGACTTTGGAACATTTTTTTACTTTTTACCTCCCAAGTTTAACTTTTTGTCTCGAAGGTTTAACTTTTCTCTTCACAATTTAGATTTTCCACTTCATGACTTTGACTCACATTTTTTTAGAAACATTTTCTCATTAAATAACTTTTACTGTTATGTTTTTCATTAAATAATTGTGACTTTCTGATCATTTTGACTGTCTCAATTGTGAAGTTATTTGCCATAATTTAATTTTTCTCAATTTTGACTTTGGCTCACGATTAAACTTTGACTCACCACTATAACATTGTATTTCATAATTGTGGATATTCTTACTCATAATTTTGACTTATTAGCTCACAAATTTGACTTTCCATCCCAAAAAATGTGACTTTATTTCAGAATTGTTACATTCTTTCTCATATTTTTGAATGTACAGTGGATATAAAAAGCCTACACACCCCTGTTCAACTGCCAGGTTTTTGTCATGTAAGAAAATTAAATCAAGATAAATATTTTCACAACTTTTTCCACCTTTAAATGTGACCTATAACCTGTACAATGCAATTGAAAAACAAACTGAAACCTTTTAAGGGGAAAAATAAAAAATAGAAAAGTTAAAATAACCTGGTTGCAGCACCTTTGGCTTTAATTACAGCACTCAGCCTTTTTGGGTAGGAGTCTATCAGCGTGGCACATCTTGATGTGCTAATATTTGCCCACTCTTCTTTGCAAAACTGCTCCAAATCTGACAGATTGTGAGGGCATCTCCTATGCACAGCCCTCTTCAGATCACCCCACAAATGTTCGATGGGATTCAGGTCTGGGCTCAAGCTGGGCCATTACAAAGTCTCAATCTTATTCCAGTGAAGCCATTCTTTTGTTGATTTAGCTGTGTGCTTTGGGTCATTGTAGTGCTGAATGATGAAGTTCCTCTTCATCTTCAGCTTTTCTAGCAGAAGGCCGTAGGTGTTGTGCCAACACTGACTGGTATTTGGACCTGTTCATAATTCCCTTCACCCTGACTAAGGCACCAGTTTCAGCTGAAGAAAAACAGCCCCAAAGCATGATGCTGCCACGACCATGCTCCACTGTAGGGTGTTCTTTTGGTGATGAGCAGTGTTGATTTTGCGCCAAATATACCTTTTGTAATGATGCCCAAAAAGTTCAACTTTGGTTTCATCAGACCATAACACATTTTCCCACATGCGTTTGGGAGATTTCAGATGTCTTTTTGCAAAATTAAGCCGGGCTTTTACGTTTTTCTTAAGAAAAGGCTTCCGTTTTGCCACCCTACCCCATAGCCATAGATTGTTGTCACTTGTACTACACAGCCAGTACTTGCCAGAAATTCCTGCAGCTCCTTCAGTGTCGCTGTCGACCTCTTGGTAGCCTCCCTGACCAGTTTTCTTCTTGTCTTATCATCAATAACGTCCTGTTCTTGGTAATGTCGCTGTTGTGCCATATTTTCTCCACTTGATGATGATGGTCTTTACTGTGTTCCATGGTATATTTAATTCCTTGGAAATTCTTTTGTAGCCCTCACCTGACTGATATCTTTGAATAATGAGATCCCTCTGATGCTTTGGAAGCTCTCTGTGGACCATGGCTTGTGCTGGAAGATGTGGCTACAAAAATGTCAGGAAAAGCAACTAGAACAGCTGAACTTTATTTGGGGTTGATCAGAGGCACTTTAAATGGTGACAGGTGTGTGCTGACTCCAATTTAACCAGAGTTTGAATGTTATTGGTTAAATCTGAACACAGCCACATCCCCAGTTATTAAAGGGTGTGCACACTTATGCAACCACATGATCTCAGTTGTTTATTTTTACTTCACCTCCCTGAAAGATTTCTGTTTGTTTTTCAATTGTGTTGTACAGGTTATAGGTCACATTAAAGGTGGAAGAAGTTATGAAATTATTTATCTTGATTTAATTTTTTTTCATGACAAAAACCTGGCAGTTGAACAGGGGTGTGTAGACTTTCTATATCTAATGTATATCTCATTATTGACCTTTGAGCTCACAGTTATGACTCAATATTTCGGTTTTCCATTCATGGAGGACAAATCTTTCATTTTCTAGCTGGTGAAAATGGGCCTCCTTATGTACCAGCCCTGTGCAGTCAGAATGACATTTCCAGTGTCTGCTCAGAGTTTGAGTTTGATCTCCATATAAAAACAGTCAAAGAGGACAGAGGACAGGTAAGTGCAGAGTAATTCATTGTCAAATAGCAGAAAACAAACATCAGCCACACGCTACAAAGAGAACAGTGGTTTAAATAATGTACACCCACCTTCCCAAACAAACCCCCCCACACACGACAGAGCGCACACACATCTGAGCCTCACATGTAGAAACCAGCGTCCACAGCTTTACATTGTCTCTACTGAGCATGCTCACATCCTCACCTGCACTCTGACTCGTCACACACACTCACACACACAGAGTGGCATCATCAATAAAACAGGTCGTCCCATGTGCTCTATTGCTTTAAGCGACTTTTTCTGCCGTTTGGGGAAAACATGCGGAGCAGAAAGTTTCCTCTAACACGCTTTGTTTAAAAATAGTGACACCCCCACCCCCCCATAGAAAAAAGCTCCACTGCGTGCTTCTCTACGTGTTACAATGTGCTGAGCTTCATCTACACACTACCTGAATACACCAAGCTTTATATTACAGACCGCCAGGAAAACCTTCAGACTGAGGCGAAATATATGGAGGCCCTTTCCTGCCAAGAACATTTTAATTAAGAGATGAAATGTTTGAGTAAGAAAAGTAAAATTTAGAAATGCTTTAAAACAGAAGTGAAACTCTAATATTCAAAAATGCATCTTCAAATTTAAAAAGTTGATCTCTGTAAATTTGGAGTTTGAAATATTTTTACTTGTTCCCCACAAAATACAACTTGCTCCTGCAAAGTATTTATGTCATGTTCACGAGCTAAGCATGCATTCAATAGTTATCCTGTGAGCACAGGATAGGAGCTAGTGCTCACAAGATAAGGATCTTGTTTCCACAGCAACAAAACTTGCATGCACAGGATATGAGCTTGTGTGCACAATAATTACTCCTGTGAGAAAACATGATTTTGTGCACAAGATGACTTTTTTACTACTTGTTCACATGGGATTACTTCTTGAATTTGTGCTTATAAATATTTCGTTTCCTCAAGATACTTTGTGCACGTTTCTGCAGTAAAATAACTTGAGTTTGGACAAAAATACAACTCTCATCACAGATCTTGTGCACAGGATTTTAACTTGTTCCCTCAAACTAAGATCGTCACTCTGCGCAAGATGTTTCCACAAGATTATTATATTGTAAGCTAGAGTAAATATCTTGACCACGCAGTATAGAAAATAACTTTTGTCAACTTCAGGGCCTCCATAGACTCAAGGAGGTCAAAAATACTATCAAAACTCTCCTTTACAAGTGTTTTCCTGAATTTCATTTTTTCTAAAAGATTTTAGGCCAAACTGAAAAACCTGAGGGGATCACCTTCAAGCCAGACTTTAAGAAACGATGATTGACTTTCAGTGATTGTTAAAAACTTTTTATAGACTCAACAATTCAGCAAAAGTAATAAATAATGACAGTATTTTGTTTCAGCCTTGACTTCGGATTTAAACAATATTCTTGATATTTACACGTTCTTAGCCGAATCAAACTGGGTCAAAATAAATCGTTATAAATCTTATCCAAAGCCAAGATTAAAAATTTTACCTCTTAAATCCAAATCTTTGACACAATCTAAATTATAAAGATGCATTTTTCAATATCAGACCAAGTTTTTCTACAAGCTCACTATCTGATTTCTATTTGTATCCCTTTCTTACTTTTAGTTATTGATCAGTTGTACTTGGTAAAATGAGTTTCCATATATTTCCGCCTCACTTGCTGGAAAAAACATTTTAGCAAAAAGACAAACCAAAGGGAGTTGTATGGTCCAGGCTACATTCACACAAACAGCATTTTGGAATTATTGTGGCAGAAAAAAACAGAAAACCTTCTCCATGACTCCATCAAACTTCATTTACATTCATTTTACAATGACAGCATTTTGGATCTTGTGTTCACTGGAAAGCGTTGAGTTAGCCCTGTGCTTCAGAAGGTGAAACTAACTCCTCACTGGACAAACACGGTGTGTGAATGTGGAGTTTAAGATGTCGAGTGTCTCTTAAAAGCTAAACAAACAAACATTCAGGGTGACAAAGTAATGCTATGAGCTTCTCTCCCGCTGAAATCAAACATCCTGACCACCACACTGTTACATATTAAAATATATATATTTACAAATGAAACCCTCACCGAGAGTCCGTTTATCAAACCTGTCTAATGTTTGTGAAAAAGTGGAAGCAGAGGAGGTGATAAAAAAAAAAAAACAACTGCAGCAGAACTGAGAGAAAAAGGCCAGAGGACAGCAGAGACCCGACAGACACACAGTAATGAAACCAGAATTTATCCCCACAAACCTGCAGGTTTCTCACAGGGCTTTTTTTCCCACTATTTCACTGAAGTTTTAAACACCTGCAACACATTTCCCAACAAAGCATCACTGTGATCGGTTATAATCACTTTTTTTCTGGATGACTTTCAACAAAAACCTCTTTTTTCATCTCTTGAACTAAAATGAGACTCTGAAAACCAAAGTCCCTCATGTGTTTTCCACCAACACCAATTAAAGACTGCATAAACTTATCAATAATGGTGGCCACTGTTAAAGAACTTTTGAGCCAGAATAAGTCTTTTTTTTAAACTAGTATATATCAGAGACGGTTTGCTCCCAAATGCAGCTGAAAATATCTCGCACAGGCCTGAATCAGGAGGATGTTGTCTCATAAATGTATCAAGCAGGCTCTGTTGAAGGCCAAAGAGTCTCATGTTTTGATGTGCAGACTGCAGCGAGTCTCAGCTGCATAAATCAGCACCAAGGGGGACATTTAGACTCTGTTAATCATTATAGAGATGGAGGGAGTCATCTTGATTTATCAGGCAAGTGAATGAACAAACTGTCTGCTTAAGTTTGACCAGGAGGGAGTGTTACATTTCATGAGTACCCAGCCTTTCCAGTCTAATGACACCCATCGAAATTAGCTACAGCTACATTTTCTCTTTGTCGTGAGTCAGTGGTTCTCAAGTCCAGTCCTTGAGCCCCCACTGTCCTGCATGTTTTGGATGTTTCCCTGCTCCAACACACCTGATTCAAATTATCAGCTCGTTATTAAGCCACTACAGAGTTTGATAACGAGCTGATCATTTGAATCAGGTGTGTTGGAGCAGGGAAACATCCAAAACATGCAGGACAGTGGGCCTCGAGGACTTTACTTGAGAACCACTGTAAGTAGTTACAAGGCATTTCTGCGTCTGCAAAACATTCATAATCACAGGAAAAAAAAAACAAAACTCATCCAGCTGACTACTGCAGGTCACATTTTCTTTGTTGTGAATATTTTAGGCTGTTTTTCATAAATTTCATGACTGACACCTACTCTCCGAGCACCAGATTCAGGCTTTAAAAATCAGGTTGTAAAATCATCAGTTTCATCGGTAAGAGACAGAGATCTTATAAGTGAGAGCAACATCCTGCTGGATTGAAACAGAGCCTTTATCATTTTGTGAAAAAGTTTGCAGATTTTTAACTGTTCCGTGCATGAAGGATTAGAAATAGTTTTCCAGAGCAGAAACTTTGGCTCCTCTCTTTTTTGAAAATAAAATGACCACCTAGCATCTTGCTGAAAAACACAGATTGGCCCCAGTTTCAGCAGGAGCAAATCCAGCCATTAGATCAGACAATTACCCAACATCAGAGTCACATCAGAGCAGTCTCTGTTCAAAGTAACACTGCAGACGTTTGTGGGGGAAACCATGATTTCACTTTTGAGGACCTGCACTAACTCTGCTGTCAGATGAATGCAGCCACACTTGAACTTTCCCTAATCCAAAAAAAAACACCCAACACAAGCACACAGTCAATCAGCTGTAGGCCTGACAGTATTGAAGTTGCATCAGACATTTTTAAGGTGCTAAAGGTCTCCAAACATAAAAGAGGGGGGGCCACTGCCAAAATGTAACAAGACTCAACAAAATGCATCATTCTCATGTGTTCAATTCAACAAGCAGATCTTGCAAATGGCGATCTAAAAACGTCTAAAGTCTTAAGAAGTGACGTGACAGAGAGAGGAAGCAGAAACACGGTGCAGCTCACAGTCTTTGGTTCAGTCGTCTGAAGAAGCGTCTAAGTGAGCCGGAGGAAAAACCCCCATGTGGACACGTGTGGACAGATCCCTGAAGAGCACCTGATTACCTTCAAGTGAGAATTACAAATGTTCGAGTAGATAAGTCAACGCGAGATGGAGTGAAAAAAGAAGAGCCCTTGGTAGATCCAACAGACTGGTGCTGGTTTGCAGAGAGGGAATGTAAATGATGCTGGTATCAGGAATGAAGACGTCCCGCTGAATCCTTTAATCCCAGATCAGTCCTCACAGGCCAGCAGGAAGAAGAGAGGTACCCTCGGAAGCATGAGAGAAAGTGAAGACTGCAGAAATGAAGGCAGCAGTTCCTATGGTGGGAAGCAGCAGATGAAAGTGAGCCCTGTTATTATTCGTCCTGGAGGAACGCTCAGGAACAGAGAGCAGACCCGGCTCTCCTCTCAGGGCTTGGACGACTCGTTCAGGTGTCACGGTGTTGTTAAATCCTGTCTCAAAGTTTTCATCTCTTCCCCGGCTTCATGTAGGACGGAATCGCCCCTCGAGCGGTGAGGCCCTCGAAGCGTTTGTAGGTGTAGTTGATGAAGACCCAGTCCTTGTTCTTCAGGTCGGCCTCGGTCTGGTTGGAAACAGGAGCAGCTGGAGCAGAAGAAGAAAAGCTTTCAGTCAGTGCAACAAAAAGGAGACAGGATACAACACAAAATTTAGTACAGGACACACTTTTAAGATCTTTTTCTCAGCTAAAGCGAAGCGACATCTTTTACAGCGGTGCGGACAAAACACTAGAATAAAAACTAAATCATATTCGACTGTGTTTTACCCTGAAGATGGAGTTCAAAGAGGCACATGACAGCTTTAGTTTCATAGCATGCTGGATACCGAGGACAAGTCTAGCAACACCGCCTCATAACATGAATATCATATATGGCTACTAGTCCAGATTTGACACAAAGTTGAACAGGAACATGCTGCATACCTGTGGGTGTGAGGATGTCTGAATCAGGGAATTCATCAAAGTTCGAGGTGTCGTCGATGCTTTTGATCTCTATGGGGATGGCAGCAGGTCTCTCTCTGAAAAACACATTAGGAAGGTTATCAGTGTCACCAGCAACTAACTTTCTCTTCTCATCCAGTATAAACTGTTCCTTTATGAACAACGCTGCAGACAGAAAAAGATCCCTTTCCTTTCAGATGACAAGAAACAAGAGTTCTCTGTGGGCTGAAAACCTTGAGGTGAGGAGATGATGCAGTACTGAATACTGAGCCAACAACGATGATGATATCAGGAGACATGGACACTGATGATCAATATACTGGAAACAGTGTTGTTTTCGTTGATGAAAATATTTCATCAACGCCCCTTTGTTTCTACGACAAAGACGTGACGTTGACGAGCTAAACATAAGTCTTAGATAACTAAAATGTGACGAGACGACTGTGCGTTTACGTTAACGAGACAAGGCTAGACGAAAACGTTAATGGTGGACGACGAGCAGAGTTGCCAAATTTATGAGCATTTCGTCAGTCAGCGCTAAACATATATTCTGCAGTGTTGTTTTCATTGACGAAACATTTTCGTCAACGTCATCATCGACGAAAACAACACTGAGTGGAAAACAATCATGCAACGATACATCCTGACACTTTCTTCCTCTGTAGCCTCAGTGTAACTCCTGCCATACAAGCACTGCTGTACATTCTGCTGGTTTGTAGCACCCAGCAATGCATTTCTCATTCATCACTACAATGGACGGTAACTTTCATGCATCTGAGAGGACCTGCGAAGTCCACCCACTATCCCTTACACTTTCCACTCAGCTTGGGGAAACTTCTTTTATTTCTTAACTTCTTCATTGCTATCTGAAAGCCTGACCTCTTCTTTCAGCTGTTCGTCGACCTTTTCCATCACCCAACTGATTGCCGTTCAAGTTTCTCGTTTCACGTCCTTTGCACAACCAACTTACATGCAAGATGAGTCAAATTGGCAAGAGAGGGTCTTCATAGTGCTGGATTTATTCAATTAAAATCAATTAAAAGGGTCAGGACAAGTCAGGTTCAGGTATCTTTACCCACCCCATTCTCACCTGATATGGTCGTAGTCCACACCTTCAAAGAACGGATTGGACTTGATCTCCTCCACCCCTGCAGCACCGATCCTGTGCTCCTCCTCACAGCAGAACCTGCAAACAGGAAACACTTGCACCTTTAAAAACCTATTCCAGGAGTTCGACTTGACCGCTGTTATCAGACAAAGACAAAGAGTGTCCATACCTGAGGATGAGGTCTTTGGCCTTTTCTGATATAGGCACTTCTGGGGGGAAGGTGAGCGTCTCTCTCCAGTTCATCACCTTCCTGTACGTCTCCTGAGGCGTCTCTGAGCAGAATGGAGGGTAACCTGCACGTACAGTAACCATTATTTAGACTTTATTCAGCCGGGTGTTTTAGTCATGAATCAGGTGGGTTCTCCTCTCTTACCTATCAGCATCTCATACATGATGACGCCCAGGCTCCACCAATCACAGAGCTTGTTGTATCCGTTTTGCATGAAGACCTCTGGAGCGATGTAATCTGGGGTTCCCACCGTGGAAAAAGCCTGACAGAGAAGAAGAGGAGACAGTTAGGGGCAGGTATCATATAACCCAGGGTTACATTTAAAGAAGTAGTGTTGGCCTGTCATGTTTTGGCCTGTGATCCAGACATGATGCTTCAGTTTTATTCTGTCTCTGTTCAGACCTACCAGCTGCCTCCTGTTCCTCTTCCAGGTTTCTGCTTTCCTCTTGGAGTTCATGTTCTGAAAAGCTGTGGAGACGAGGACAGCTCACTTTATTTATCAAGTTGCAAACCAGCTGATAGTTAAAAAGTTTGTTTTTCATACAGGCATCACATATTTCACAGCGTCTGCTTTGTGGATTAACTACAGTCTAAACATCAGCTCATGCGTGTGACAATGGAGTGGGTTGTAAAACATGATCAGATGTGATTGGCTGAGGTTAGTTTGCATGCTAAATGTGATAAATAAGTGAACTGGTTTGTCCTACTTTGCTTGCTGAGGTCACTGGGCAGACTGTGGTTCAGGTTCTTGTAGAACTCAGTCCGGTGAGCTCTCTTCAGTCCCGTGCACAGACCAAAATCTGACAGCTTCACATGACCCTGAAACAACAAACACACTCTCCTTAAGCACCAAAGTCTGAAGCACAGTGTGATGGCAAATTCTGGGCATTATGAAGACCATTAAGCGGTGTACGTCACAAATGCAGACACTGAGAAGATGGCTTTGCTTGTTTGTAGCAGTCACAGGTGTCATTTCTCATCTTAGACCGGATGTGAGTGATCAGAAGCTTTAACTACATATTTGAACACCCAACAGTGTTTCCTGGGAGTCGATCAGTCCATCCACAAAAATCAACAACGATCCTGAGGAGTAACAGACCACCAGCTGGACTGATTTTTTTTTACATTTCTCTGCTGCGTCTTATTGAAATCTTCACTTTGAGTTTTTTTTTAACACTTCACAGCAGCGTCACACGTCACAGATTATGCACTAGATCTGAGTGCACAAAAATGATGGGATATACAGTATTTATTCAGTGAGGAAAACTGTGTTGAATTGATTTATATGCAGTAACACAAGGCTGAGGAGGCAAGATTTGAGAAGACTCAGGTGACGGATGTGATCTTTGAACAGTGTGTCCAGCAGAGAGAATCTCTCCTTATCTTTATATTTTTTTGCTCTACCCTTTACATTTCACACACACAGCCTGGTTTTTCCTGTATTTCTGTGCACAAGCTGATCAAATGCATTGGATGTGCAAAAGAAAATGTTTCCCATGACAACTCAGGAGTTCATTTTTGCCGTTAGAGGGAGAATGAGGAACCAAACTGAGATGCTCGGGTACCTTGAGGTGTAAACAGGAGAGCTGAATAGTATATTGTTGAAACGTTGCTACTGGGATGTGCACATGTTCTATAGTCACACAGCAGGACATGCAAAGTCAGTCATGAGGCCTGAAACATTTCATGCTGTCACCACTTCCTCGTTGTCCATGATTAACTTCATTTTATTCCCTCATTTGATACACTGGTTCACAGTTATACAAACTGCATTTATCTGGTGTTAATTCCTGTTGCGTTTTTCACATCATAATCTGTAATATCAGTTTCTTGAAGAGAGAGTTTACAGTAAACTCTTACAGTAAAGTAGAAACTGAGAATAGAAATGCATTAAAGTATCTGGTTCACTGTGACTGACCCTGGAGTCCAGCAGCAGGTTGTCAGGTTTGATGTCTCTGTGGATGAAGCCGAGCTGGTGGATGGAGTCGATGGCCAGCACCGTCTCTGCGATGTAGAACTGTGTGGCTTCTTCTGTCAGAGTGTCTTTCTTCATCAGCAGGGTCATCATGTCTCCTGCAGCCCAACACAGCAGAGGTTAAACCCTGTTTTTTTTTCTTTTTCCTGTGGTTTCATATTTTTCAGCTCTGAATGATTCTCGAGGTCATCATGAGGATGTACTCTGGGTTTGTAATGTGTTGTGTTTCAGAGTATGAGGGTGTTACCTCCAGGTAGAAACTCCATTATGAGGTAGAGGTTCATCTTGTCCTGGAAGCTGTAGAACATTTTGACCACCCACAGACTGTCTGCCTCCACCAGGATGTCCCTCTCGGCACGGATATGTCCAACCTGACGCACAGAACGACAGGTTTTAAAGACATTTAACAGATGAAACGACAAAGATCAGGTGTTTGCATATTCTTCTGCCTCACCTGTTCTTTCTCCAGCATGTCGGCTTTGCGCAGGATCTTCATGGCGTAGACATGACCCGTGTCTTTCTTCTGCACCAGACGAACCTGGAGGGGAACAAAACCAGGAGAGTTTCAGCAGAGGGTACAATAAAGTCGCTCTGATGAATCTAAGTGTGAAATCTACGAAGGAGAAAAAAAAGTGCATGTGTTGTTCAGCTGATTCCTGGTGGACTTCAGCCTGAGGATGTTTTGAGCCGCAGACAGAGACTTGGTGATTAGTCACCCATTAAATCACTGATGCATCTCCTCTCCTTCTTTGAGGCTGTTTCTGCAGTGATACACTGAAAGAAACTCACGATAGACTAACTTTCAATCAACCAGACCATTAAAGCTCCTCTCTGAACCTCTGTGCTTCAATTATATGAAATTTCTATATCACTAATTACTGCGTAACTGAGCGTTATATTCTCCAGAGCAGCCACAAAAACCAGCACCCTCTAATGTTTTCAATCTGTGAAACTCATGCTAAAATCTTGTAAGCCATAGTAACCGACGAGAGTAATGAAAGCTCATTTTTTTTAAATACACTGTGTCTAAGCATTAAACAATTGCAAAGAGACTAAATGCTCCGGCTGATATGAATCTAATGAATACAACAACTCATGCATCTTGTCTGAAGAGGAAAGTCGACAGCTTAGACCTGTGGTTCTCAAGTCCAGTCCTCGAGGCCCACTGTCCTGCATGTTTTGGATGTTTCCCTGCTCCAACACACCTGATTCAAATGATCAGCTCGTTATCAAGCTCTGTAATGGCTTAATAACGAGCTGATAATTTGAATCAGGTGTGTTGAAGCAGGGACACATCCAAAACATGCAGGACAGACCAAAACACTGGGATGTTGAGGTCTGTGGGTGAGTGATAGACCTGAAGAAAGGTCAAGAAGTTTGTAAAAAACTAAAACAAGGTAGAGAAAATACCAAAATAGTGAAAAGACAAAGACTATCAGGAAAAGGGAACACATATTCTTTTAAACTGTTTTGTTTTACCTCTCCAAAAGCCCCTCGTCCAATCACTTTCAGAGATTCAAAGTCCTCCAGACCCAGACGAGTGCGTTTCAGACGCAGGAACTCTGTCTCTTTCCTTGCATGCTGGGAACGCCGGATACGTTTCTGCAGAGCACAAAGCAAACGTGGTTAAAAGCGTCAATTTGAAGGAAACACACACTTGTAAATGAAGGTCAATCTTATTTTCACAACTTTGGGACTAACTGAGAACTGATTGGTCAATATTTCATCTAGGAGCCTACAGGAGTTTCCTCTGAGAACAGTGAAGTCCAAAGGAGGTTTTTTCTACAAAAAACAAGCCCAGTTATAAGTACCCCAGTTCTCTAAACAGTATGACTTCATTTCAGAAATTTATTTTGGTGTCATTGTGGTTTCAGATAACTATCAGGCTGTTTTCTTCCAAGAAAGCTTTATAAAGTTGAGGTTTCTACATTTTTCCCCAAGAAAAATAAACAATGCTTGCTTCCTTATCACTTAAAGTCAATAAACATTAACCTATTTCTGGCACTGCAAATCAGAAAACACAACCTGGAATCTCACAGTGCTACAAAGCATGCAGTTTAAACCCTGCATGTGTTTGTCTCTTACCTCTTCATCAGCGAGACCCTCCTGATCCATCACCTTCTCGAGCTTCTGCTGCCTGAAAGGAGAGTAAGGATATTTACATCATGTTATGGGCAAAGAAGTAGAACACAAGAATCACCCTCTCCTCAAAAAATCAGAGGTTTCAGATCAATCATCTCTTGGCAATAATCAACAGAAGTGTAATAGTTTGTGTGTTTTTAAACAGCACAAATATTAGAGGGGTAGTTGATGTTTAGATGTTTGATGATGCCGCCAAAACCCCCAAGAAAAGGTTTTGTAGGCCAACTTAGGATGTAAACACAAGGGTATAAAATGTCAAATCCAGGGTCAGCTTCACCCTCAGTTACACCAACATGTTTCTACTGAATTATTTACAGTCTTTCACCGTATCACACCCCAGAGCAGCATGTCAGTCAGAGGATAAGATCAAATTCCCTCATGCCTTCACACGGCTTGTCACAGCAGTTGATGGACCGATTGAATTACTTGCCCACCGCCACCTCCTGTTGTGTTTCTCCTTTGAAAGTGTGTTATCAATACTTAGTCAGGCAGCAGATAGTGTGTGTGCTCCATGAAGCAGAGTCAAAGCACAGAGCAGCAGCAGCAGGAGTCACATATCACTTATCACGTGGTGAGAGACGGAGGAGTTGACCCGGATCATGTAAATATGCCGCTGACTGAAAGACAATGTTGGAGCTTCTACCAGCGAGAATCAGTGTCACGCTGCTTTCACACGAGTACTGGAAACAATCAACAGGGAACGACTTCCTGATGGCACAGGAAAAACTAATCAGCAGTCCACTGATAGATGTCCTGCCATCAACTTTCTGTGTGGGTTAGGGCTGCATGATGTAGTGTTTGACCAGTTCACGGTAGAACGTGATATTATTCATACAACCTAAAACACAACATGCTGCCACTTCTCTGTGGCTTGATGAAACTAACACTTCCTGGTTTCTCATTAGTCATATCTATTTAACAACAGTAACAACAACAATAATGAAGGTCTTATTTATACAGCACTTTTAAAAAACAGAGTTACAAGGTGCTTTACAACACTAAACAAAACAGAAATAGAAAGAAAAAGAAATTTCCAAAAAAGCCGGTCAACAGGAAAGGTTAAGAATTCGGTAAAAGATGAAACCCCAACTGCGTTAAAATAAGTTAAAAATAATTATAATAATGAAATAAGTTAAAACAAAGTAAAATGAGTTGAGACACTTCATTAAAGTTAAAGTTAGAAGTAATTTCCAGTCTGTCTGATATCATGCTAGTGCTCCTCCACACTTGATCCGAAAGAGCTGACTGCTTTGTATTCAGAGTTTGTGTCTCCAGACAGAAAAAGTCGACATGTACTCTGCATGATGCTTGAGGCAAGCTGTTTTCCCAACAAGTCTTTCCCACCTACATCTCCACAAATAAGAAGATTGAGAAAAAAGCTTTTTTTTTTTCATTTGACAGTTAAATGGTAAACTTGAATGTGAAAACATTTTGAGCCTTTTTTTTTAAACGTTATCTTGATCTTTTTTTTTTTTTTTTGCATATGGCTAATAAAAACCTAAAATATATTGTCTAGTGTATTAAAATTTTTGCTGAAATTAATCAAAATGAGGGTTTAAAGTCTGTGATTGTCCAATTTCTGAAAAGTGCATGAAATAAGAAGCTGGGGCTACTTTTTGTTAAGTTTCTTTAAATTCTTAATGGAAAATATTTTGCAGAGATGCATCTGTATTAAAGCTTAAGCAAAAAAAAAAAAAATATATATATATATATACAGTTTGATGACAGAGTGATTGTGCTGCTGAGAGTTTACCTATGTCCACACCTAAAGCACACATACAGTAAATTGGCATAAGAAAATCAAGCAGTAAAAAAGGTGAGCTTTGTTTAATCTTAAATTTCTGTCACAGGCCTGTTGACAGATCAAACTTAAGAGTGCTCTTGGGTGATGGTTAATAACATGGGAGTTAAAATGTGGGTATATTTGTAAAGTTCAAGAAGAAACTCTAAAACAGACCCAAACTAAAACAAGTGTGAGTGTCTGATTCATTAATTAGCACATAGTCGGAATAAAGGTCTGTGTTTTTCCTTTACCACTGTAGTTTAGAAATAAAAGTTCATGCTTTTAGTTCTTCTTTCAACGCAGCCTGAATCTAACTGAATGCACACAAAGAGATCAATCACAGAAATTATGGGTTAAAAGTTTGGAAGAGTTTAAGTTTGTGACATAACATTAATCAAAACTCCCACCAGTTAAAAATCATTCCACCATTCTGTGCCACACTTATTGCATATTTTCATCCCCAGGTGTTTGATGCATTTCACTATTAACTTATGGAGGTGGCTTTTACTTAATTTCTTTCTGGCATACACCTGACAGAGCATAATTGGAAAATAAAGTCATATTCATAAAGCTTATTCCTGAGCCTATGTGACAAGTTATGAGCAGAAGTCAAACCTCTTGAGTTTTACTGCTATTTACGCCATGTTCAAGTCAAAGTTGTGACACTATTGTTAGAAAAGTGTGTAATCCAAAAAACTGCCACAAGTTCATATGCAGCTGCTGACGGGATTACTGTGCAGATCTAAAAGGTGTGTTTGTTACCTCATCTCTCTCTCCTCATGCTGGGCGATGAGGTTACTGTAGAAGTTCTCCAGGGTCACTTTGGCCATGGTGACCCGCTCCTTGGTGTGGTTACTCATGGAGGAGCAGGAGCTCTGGCCCGTCATTGCCATGCTTTACCTGAAAAGACAATGAAGTGAGCAGACAGCGTGTCCACAGTACAATGTTTCCTCTGTCACTGCAGACTGCTAGAAAAACATGTTCATTGTGCTGCGACACACAATTTAGAGAGAAATGCTACACTACCAAGAAGTAAGAGGAATGATAAATAATGGAGGGTTGAGGGAAGCGGAGGAGTATCCTAAAAAGTACGCTTTGTGACAAAAATACCTTATTGCAATGGTATGTTCAGATTACGACACCAGGCTGTGTTTAAAATTGGAATTATGAAATGGGATGACGGTTGGTGCAGAGAAAGAGGAAGGAAAGCTGCTGTCTAAACAAAGCAATGAAGATAACATTGTGACAGGCAGTTATGAAGAAATGATGAAGAAATCTGATTTGTGCAAGCACTGACCGAGGAGTCAGTGTGTGAGTGAGACAGAGTTTTGGAAAAGGTTGAACAACACAGGGAGCAGTATCCAAATGGTAGAAGCTGCATTGTTTGAAGGTAGAGTTAAAAAAGTAAATATACTAAAGTACTAAAGAGCCTCAGGAGTTCCCTACTCTGCATATCCAGCTTTCTAGATTTGAGAAAACATTCAGAGGTGGAGAGCAACAATTCACATTTACTCAAGTTACTGTGGTGAAGTAGCTTTTTGTGTACTTCTCAGAAAAGTTGGGGATTTTTTGTGGGAGGTACTACAACAGCACTTTTATATTTTTCACAAACAGATACAGACAAAAAAAAGGTAAAATTCTATCTTTCTATTAACAGCATGACATCTACAAAACCTCCAACTGTAACCAGTTTCGTTTCTCGTTGTCTCGTTTTTATTCAAATTATCTCAGTACACTTAAGCTGCACTTACCTGACAGAGTTCAAACATTCACCTTATTTCAAGATATTTCAGGACAAATAAGTTCTTGGAATCAGTATTATATCCTGGTTTAAGTAACACACTAAGTAACTTATTTTTTGACTCTTAAAAGTAAGCATCTTTGCAGAGCAAGCCAAGATTTGAGAGTACAGGGATCTGCTAAGTGCGAGACTGGCAAAGAAAAGAACCGCAGAAATATTCAATTACGTCAGAGGCGCACAGTCAAAATCGCCTCACACTTAAGCCAAACTTTATGACTGAAATTGCAGAAACTAATTTGTGAAAAACTGCTTTCAAATAATTTTGGGGGCCTACCTGTGTCCTCCTCCCAGCCCACCACCATGGCTTTAAAATGAGTGAAATAACAACTGTGAACCAAATATACTGTTCCTGTTATCATCTCAATCAGGATAACATTTCCCAACATTTTCCAGGCCTACTTTAAATGCATACAACTGTAGAGTTATTATATCCAATCCACAATTAAAACCCTCGGCTAAATAAGTTTTTATTTAATCTTTCCCTCACATTTATTGACTTTCTTTGCTGTTAAAAGAGAAAATTCTGCTGTTAACTAAGCAGATATATCAGGACCAGGAACTAGACACGGAGGATAATACTATATGTATTTTTAGCACAACCTACGTGTAAAGCGTCTGTAACATATATTTCACATTTACCACAGATATTCATGTTATTTGGACATATTAATGCTGTTTCCTTTCACATTTGAACCCAAAAGGTGATGTTAGATACTTGAAAAACATTAGTGCCACAGTTGAGCTATTTTTGCCCCTCAGTCCCAGACAGTCAACAACACGTACACACCAAAGTTAGTGGTTTCGGTGACAATTCAGCCATTAAGAGTAAAATAACTGGTTCAAATCAACACTCACTGTACTTAACCCAAACTTCACACTTATATGAGAGCGAGGATCTCACTTGGGATATCTAGTATTGTTGTAAAACTTGATAAAAATGCTTTAACCTGCTAACATTAGGTAGCTGGCTAGTTAGCAATTAAAGTTCCGAGCTGGGTCAAGTCCAAAACACTAATCTCACAAAGCACAGAATAATTCCTTCAAAATAAAATACGAACTTTCGAGGGAATGCTGCTTGTCCACAATCCGAGTTTTGTCTGCGTTTTATTTTGAAGGTTAATACCGGAAATATTACCTGTCTGCTATCTGTTGACTTGACAACTTGAAGTTAACTGAAGCGAACAGCTAAGGGAAAGTTAGCTGGTAGACGTTAGCCACTTAAATGCTACACCAGCTTCAGTCTTAAAATCAGATATCAGACGGGAGGCGTTCAAAATCTCCCTAAAAGAAAAAATCAGTAAAGGAAAACGTCCAATAAATCTTATTCTTTCGCTTTCGTCCTGTATTTTCAGATAGTTGGTCTTTGTTCGCTTACCTTGGTCGAAGGTGCGGTGTCTGCTGTCTCTTCCTCTGCTTTGCTGAATCTTGCGTCACCATAAATTTTAACTCACTGCGACACCTACAGGCCTACAGGTCACCTGCACTTCTTTCCACGGCTGCCCTTCTTCACAGGTTTCTGTGACATCTCATTTAAATTCACTGTTTACTCCAATAAATCCAGGGTGACCCTTTACAGTTTTAGTTTATTAAATACAAACAATTGATCATAGATAAATGTATAGATTATAGATGATAGAATTATCATTGCCTCACTCCCAGATTGATGGAGTAGAATCTTTTAAGAAAGAAGTGTTTAAAAATTACACACTCTAATTTCTTTTAGAAGAAAACACATCATTAAAACATTAAAAATAAGGTGTGCACTTTTCTTTTTCAAAACACAGACACCACTAAACAATTAATCATACCCTGTGACTGAAAGACCTCTCTCACACACTTCATTTGTCTGGGTGTTACCTTAAATGAGAAGGTGGACTTGTATCCCATGTGAGCTGTGTGTGTTTGAGCGTGTATAGCGCATATGGTAAACTATTGGCTTATGTTCACTTTGGCGCCCCCTGTGGACCGAGTTTCACATGGTTTCCTTCAGCTGATCTTGTCCTGTACATGGATAGGTTATGTTTTCTGACTGAATATCTCATCTTCTCTCTTGTTACAGTAAAATGTAACTCTTTTTGTGAATGTTTGCTGTGCTAAAAGGAAAGAGGCTTCCTATTTCTCACCTACCCCATCACAGTAATTACAGGCATTAAAATATAAAATAAAAATAGTTAATGTTGTTGCATATGCTCATTGTGGCAGCTGTGTGTCACTTTGAATTTCAGGCTGTTCTAAAACCATCTTAAAAATCCTCATGGGGCTTTGATTGCTATTATTTCTGGTGTAGCTGCTGCTTTCAAGGCACAATTTTCTCTCTACTTTTTCTTCTTTAAAAGTTTGACCTTCATTTTTGGTTGGCAGACATAAAAAGATTCTTTGAAAAAAAGTGTAAAATCCCTAGAAAATGTGTTTAGATTTTTAAAAGAAGTAGAGCATCAAATGCAATGATACAGATAGAGGTACACAGAATAAATTCAGCCCAGTTTTTAAGGCCCTAGAATTAAAATCATCATATCACACACAAAAAACAGCAACTTTAGTAGTTTATGTTAATCCCCTGTATAAATCTATCAATGTTGGAACGACAAAATGAGAGCAGATTTTGCAGAATCAACAGTCTTCAGGTTGAAGGCTTGTATTAATAATTCGCTCTTTGCAGGTCTATATTTCGTGTGTCCATATGTTCATGTGTTTATGTAAATAATGACATGTGCATTGGTACACATATGTATATGACTGAAGCTATTTTTATAACTATACATGATCATTCATTCAGCTATTTGCTCTTTCATTTGCTTTCTTATCTCATCTATTCAACTCGCATCCACGTAATGTATATCTATGTAATCTCATATAATCTCATCATTATAGTGCTGGCGCTGTTATTACATTATTTATAATTAGAGCACCTGATGAGAACTGGTTCATGATAAACTTCAAGTTGCAAAAGTTCATGTTCACAGTGTATGTACACGGTTTATTGTTGGATAAACAGCAAAATAATCCACAGATCCGGGGAAAAGAAGAAGGTTGGTGTACTTTTTACAGCCAGGAAGAAGTTGTCATAATTCAGAATAAACCTCAGAGACTTCATGTGTTTTGACTTAAAAAAAACTAGTCTTTATTTGAAATGATTTCCTACTCTTCCGGGGAAGACTGCAGCCGACTCATGGAGCTGAAGTCTCTCGTTCTGCCAGTGTTTCACAGAGTAGCAGCGACGTAGCCGTACAGTAATTCACACATTATTAATCATTTAAAACCAACACAGGACACAAAAACACACAGTGCAACATTCACATCTTCTCCTATGTACTGTTCTATTTACACACACAGACTTCCTTGCTCACAGCTAGTGTTTCCTCGCCTTCTCCCTCTTCTTCTTCTCCTGATATTCAAGGATCTTTTTGTGAAATATTCCTGCGGGACAAAGAAGGAGACAGTGCATTGAAAAAAAAAAAAAAATTACAAAGGGCGGGTTATGTTATATCACATTCGATGAAGGAAAGCTGCACCGTTTTCAATCTGTATCTCAGCAGGGGATCCTTTACGTAACATCAGACACAGAGGAAAAAGTCAGTGTTTTGACTCAGATCAGCTTGTTTTCATCACCTTGCTGCAGTCCAGGCTGCTGCTGCTCCACCTCCTGGATGAACAGGTCGAACATCTGCGTCTGGATGAACTTCTTTACAAAGTGTCGGGTGGTTTTGGACTCAATGGCCTTGTAGAAACTTCTCTTTTCAAACACCCCCGGCTGTCCTTTACGACTGTATTTTACGTACGAGGCGTAATGGCCGACTGTTCTTACAAAGAAGTGTAGGAAGGCTTCTGACACCACCCGGTTCAGCTCCTCCACCGCTGAGAGAAAAGAGAGAAAACATCTGTGATGATCATTTCTGTTCCTGCAGACTCTCCCCAGGACAACTATCACAAGATTTTTATTTTTGTGAAGGACTAGAATAGCTTTATTTTCCTCTGCTGTATTTAAATATTTCACAAGTTGAACACTTAAGATATCTTGGCAGGGATAAAGTACAGACATCAAAAGTGGGCTGACATAGCAAGACTCTATGTGGGTATTTTTGTGCTAAAACAATGATCACAGAAAATCAATATAATAAACAAAGAAATACATAAGATTGAAAACTGCAACATGCATACGTAGATAAATAAAAAGCTCTTTTACAGCAGCACCACAACTGCCAAGGAACTGTAAACAGGAAAAGATGTAAAACAGAACACAAACTACATAAAACAGAACCTGCAGAAATGAAACAAACTTTGCTGTAGAGCGGAACATTTCTAGAGGACAGTGCAGGATATTATGAGAGCAAAACACATCAGTATAAGTATAAACACCACAGAGTGTAATGTGACTGACAATGTACAGTGTGCATCGATGTAACGCAGTAATCTATTACTGTGATTTTAGGGAGCAATGAAAAGCATATAAGGAGAGACCTGAGAGAAAATACCAAATATCTAAAGTTTGTCCACAAATTAAATTAAGTTGCAATCGTTTGGCTTCCACTTCAAATGCTCTCAAGCAAGTTGTGCTTTTTACTTCAGTGAGATGTCAAAACAAGTGTTTTCGTCATTCTGAGTGAATTTGTTATTTCTGTATTATAGTTATACTGATTCTATTGCAGGTTTGGCAAAATGTTAGGCTTATGTGACAGACTGTCATCTCCCTGATCTGGAGGATATTTTGTAGCTGCACTTGTTGTTGTTCTCTCTGTGAACTTTCTCTTCCTCTTTTACAGCCTTGAGTTGTTGCAGCTTTGCATTCAAGATGCAAATGAAAATGGCCTGTCTCACTTGTGGCACACAAACAGAGGACGTGTTCAGTTTGCGTAAATCTACATAGGGTGATTGGATCAGAGGAGGACAGCTGTATGCACAAGTACAGTACCCACTAAGTCAGTACGCCCCCTATTAAAAGTAATGTATTACTTAATATCTAGATGAGCAAAAGTACAGTTTCCAAGGTTTCAACAAAGCCGAGTTTAACATAACATTTCATTTACCATAAGATGAAAATAAGGGTGATATGGTAACTAAAGTTTTGCTTTACTCCCAGAACTTTAATTGGGGTGTACTCATTTTTGCATCCTGATTTTAAAGTGAACAAAAATGCTTTTTTGTATGCAACTTAAAAAATCTTGTTTGCAATCAATGGCCTACAATTGGGAGATATTATGTTGTATAGTCTGACAGAAAATGTTGACTGTGAAAGGAAACTAAAGGATTTTTGACAACTCTGAAGGGGTGTACTCATTTATGCTGAGCACCTCAGTCCAAATCCATGTTATGGCAGACTGTGACACCGGTGATGGGTTTAAAACAGGTATACTGTCCACCACTGATTGCAACTAAAGCACAAAGGTGAAATCCAATCAAATGTGATCACAGAGGATGCAAATATTCATGCAACCTGTAAAAGTTCAAGCTTAAAGCTGCAAACTGAAGTACTGATCACTGAGGGAGCATGTTAACATGTGCCAAATAATCTTAGACTGATAACTAAAGGCCTAGAACAAATCCATTAGAATTTAGAGATTTTATAATCTGAAGAGTTATTACTGCTAAAGTTACTGATATTATGTTGCTGCCCAGTAACTTTAAAGTCAGGAGGAGTGAGTGATGCAGAGAAGACTGCATCTTATATTAGGGAGACAATTTCAGTGAATTCTGGTTAATTACAAACTTTCATTAGTGCTCCACACATTCATTAGTTAAGGACTTTGACGTCAGGTATGACTGGGGCTTAGAAAAACAATTGTGTTTGGATCCAGTCACTCACTTGATGCGTTTTGTCTTTTGCTGAGCGCCTCAAGAATTTCAGCTTGGAGCTTCGGAGGCAGAATGGAGCTTTCATCACCGATCTGAGAAAGAACGATATTACATAAAAGTTATGTAATTCAAATAAGACAGAGAACAGATCATCTCATTAAACAGTGGTGTTGATTCAAAACTTACAGAAACAATAAATGTCTCAGTCTTATCCTCAGACAAGTCGACCACCAGCAGCTGTTAAAAGATAAGAAAGAAAAAACAAACTTAAAAAAGATAAAAACTTTCAAAGATGTTTAATTAACTGTGTTTCCAAGGATGACTCACATCTTCCTGATCTGTGACCAGATCCAGCAGGCGCTTCTGGACTCCCAGCAGGTACGGGGTGGGTGCCATCACCACGTCGATGAGGATCTCAGGTACGATGGAGATGAAGGTGTGCTGCCAGGTGAAAGGGTAAAGCAGCGCTGCAACGGCGTGGATGATCTGAGACAACGTGCTGCAGAGAAACAGAGTTTACATCAGAAATAACCAGGGACACTTCAGGTTGTGGTTGCTCTCGTCCCAGCTGCAGCAGATTGGAATAAAAGACCTCATTTAGCGCTCTCTGGTGGTTTTAGTGAAGATAAATACTGTAAAACTGACTCCAATCTCTAGACGTTTATATAAACTGCTGTTTTCATTCACTTCAGTCTTCTTTCTGTGTCCATATGAGCTTTCGTACCCGAGTTCATTTGCAATGAAGACGATCCGCCTCTCCAGGACAGCGGCAGCAAACACCAGCAGAACCTCCTCGTCTGTCAGACAGCTGAACAGGGTGCCGAAGTTCACGTGTTCAAGCCAGGAGTCCAGAGGCCGGGTCAGACTAATGATCTAGTGGAGAGATGAACAAACACGTCAACAGCTAATCCAGCGTCATGTATCAACCCACAACTCTCACAACAACAAGCCACCTGATTGTGGAGTTAGTATTTACTTAAGGAGGAGTTGGCGGCTCGATCGAGAGACTGTGATTTATTTCTTACACTTCACATTGTTCTGCGATCACTTTTAACTCGGCCTCTGCTGCAACAATGAAGAAGAGTCTTATAAATTTGAGAGTAAAAAGTTATGAAACTGAGAGCTGTTTAAACTCGGTCAACAGCTTGATGAGAAGTGTCGAGTTTCTGCTCACAGGTGAAGGTGAAGTAATGCAGGACATGTTCAGACATGGCGCTGCACAAACACACCCACCTGAAGGATCTGACTGGAAGAGGACCTGGATCACACAGCTAACAGGGTTACCATGTCGACTCTGAATAAACAACCGTATGAAGGGGTGTGCCATGTTGGCTGCATTATCTATTAACAAATTTGTCAGACATTTGACCTACTTAGCGGCTACAAGTTCAGTCCGCTTGATGCAAAAGAATGATAAGAAGAAATGTAGACATATAATTCAGATTAAAACCAACACAACAACAGCTAACTACAGAGCCCCGCAGCTCTCTTCATAAACTCACAAAGCTCAAAGATCCAGCAAACAGATTGGTCTGTTGTTGAGGTTTTTCCTGAAATTCCCCTGTGGGTGAGCTGTATGAGCCTAAATTTCCTTTCATAATAAAAGGTCTAATCTGTATGGATCCTTTCTGTGACATCATTAGACACTTAATATGAAAACAAGAACCTTTAGGGACCCATCCTGATGCGGGAAATTTCAGATATCACAAATTTCACAATGCTGCCTGACAAAAAGTAAGTATAGTAGTCGGTCTGTACAGCCCGTTCACTCCATTTTCGTCTTCAGTTTTCCGGGAAAGAGAAGACAGTGAATGATGACAGCTTCCTCAGAATAAATCCTTATCAGCCCCTCTGAGCTGGACTCTCCTCGTAATAAGTTTTTCCCTTTCATTAATGACTTCCAGCGTATCTGATTAATGTTTTCCTCCTGAGTCACTAAAGCTCATTGTGTTTCCTGATACAGCCTGGATCAAGTCCAGCTGACTGCGTGATGATGATGGGAAACCCTTTAGATTTCTTCGGAGGGAGATTCCACCTGTGCTCATTGTTCCTAACTATCTGACCTACACAGATCCTGTCTGCAGATCAGAGAGAAAACCTTGGGGGACTTTTCAACGCTTAGATATGGGAGGAAAAGTGTCTTTGTGTGTTCAGTTTAGTCCGATTATAACATCTTTAAACAGATTTGATTCTGAGATTTCAGGGGCTGACTCAGTAAGGACGATATCATAGTGGCTCAGGATGTGAAAATAAAAGCCCGCTCTGACCTCAGTGCCCGACTCAGGAATGAAGCTCTTAATCTCCACTGTGTTCCCCGGAGCTGGGAATGAAGCCTCCCTCAGCTTCTGCATGAATGGGTAGATCATGGCCATGGAGATCTGCCGCCGCTTCTCCACCTCGTCAAAAATCTGCAAAAACACGCAGACAGAGAGAGCGCAGAGTCAGGGTAACAAAGTATTTAAACGCAGGGATATCAGTATCGCAGAGCCCCTGAAGTCCTGCAAAGGATTTTTTTTTTTCAAGGCGTTTAGAAGAATACATTAAAAATGATTTTTGCTCAATTAAAAGAGTAAAATACTGGCAAAAATGGCATTTAATGGTTGATGATGTGAAGTGTGATCATTACAACAGCTGCATTTCCACAGGTGAACTAGTCCTGCACACAAGATGGTCTAACTTCTTAAACTTGATGCAGTAAAATCTATGAAGGCCACAGGTTGATTATTATAAATGTTATTAAGAAAGAGTTCTCAGAGTCTTCAGTCTTTGCTTTTGCACAGGTCTAATTCAGAGGAATGATTATTTACTGCCACGTCCTCCTCTCCCTGACTTTAGGGCTTCATTTAGAGTCAGTGACACATCACCAAACAAACGGGTGTGTCACTCAGTCACCAAACAGTAACAGGTGGGAGGCCTCCACACACTTTTAGTTTCACTCATGTTATGTTGCCATAGAGCTCTTCTTTACTTTTAATGTGGCGAGCATCTCTCCAGGAAGTCTTGTTGGCTTAGTAATGAGTCTGTCAGGTATGACTTTATTTTTAGAAACATGTTTAACAAGGTGGAGAATAAAGAGCTGCAGGTAAGTATTAAGTGATGAGTAATCGTGTTTGCTGGAGCTGGAAATCACAAACTAAAATTAATTGTTCGACAGTTTTATCATTTTGAAATTCACAATGTTTTTAGAGATGTATTCACCAAAATTAAGAGACTGAAAAACCTTTAAAATAAAGTCGAACTCACTTTGGAGAAAAGGCCGAAACAAGCGACCGAGCTGATGATGCAGTAAGCTTCAGGAGGCCGAGCTCCCCTCCCTCCAGGCTGCAGGAGAGGCAACAAAAGGAGAAAAAAAAACATGAAAAATTCCAAATCAAATGAGCTCAAACTGACATGCTCAGGCTTCACACTGACCAGTAACCTCCTGCAGTATCCGTTCCTTCTGCTGCCGTCGATCTCAGTCAGAACAAAAGAAAACGTCTCGCTGAAACAGGAAATAAGAAACACTGGAGTGAAACCACACACACAAAAAAAAGGTTATTAAAGTTACGTAAGAGTTAAAGAGGAGCAGACACACCTGTGGTATTCTGTCAGAGGAGCCCAGTTGATTCCCTCAGGGAAACAGAAGAGAGTGATCGCCTTCAGCGTCTTCTCCTCTTCCTCCTTCTGATATCTGGCCATCCCGTCTCTCTGAAAGGAAAAAAAAAAAGCTCATTAAATAATCTGATAATAAGACCTCAAACACTTTAGATTGTGAATGAAAATCAAACTTTGTTCCTTGACTTATTCAGCTTTCAAATGAACAGATTTCTGCACTGACATCTGATCAAAAGCACTCAGGCCGCTTTATTTCTTACACAGTTAAAGAATATTTTATCAATCATTGGCTGGTTATGCTTTACACTGTGAATAAAATATGGACAAAATGCCTCATTACACTTAATATAAGCCACACTAACCTAACAAGTCTGAATATAAGTCTGAGTTCAAGATACTAATAAACCAAAAATAAGGGCTTTATCAGTAATTCTCACTCTGAGGAGCAGCAGCTTTTAGTTAGTTCACTTCACAGCTTTAGAGACATAAACATCGAGCACAGAACTGTTGTAGTTCATTCTCCAGTATCTGACTGACCTTTGGAAACTGGTAGGTGATCTGAGGTTCATAGCTGCTGCCGTCTTTGGTCTTCTTCAGGCTGACCACCACTAGATACTCGAAGAAGTACTGACCGCTGGCGTACCGATGCTGCTGGGTGGAATTGTCCTCCATCACCAGGCTTGGAGGCTCTGCAGTCTCCTGGTCTTTACCCTCTGCACAGAAACATAAACAGTCACCACTGAGATCCACATCGAGAGGTTTACTGGTTCAGCATCTCACCTCGTCACAGGAAGACGATGGCTTCTTCATCTATCCTGTGTTTTGATGAAATACATCAACCAGCACAAAGGACCCCCACTATGAACTCACAGTATTACTGTGTGCTGATTTTTAGCTCAATATCAATGTTTTATTTTTTATAATAGACAGTTATTGTCAATTCTGGTAAGTTGCGACAGCTCTAATGTCAATGACACACATTTCATTACAAGTTTTATTTCCTACACTGCTCCGTTGAGACAGGGAAGCTCGACTTCTGATTGGGCCTTTAAAGGTCAGCTGATCATCAATACAGCCTCTGATTGGTCAGTGGACCATAATAAAGATGACAGCCTTTGTCTAGCATAGTTAGTTTACAGCAGTAATCACACTTAATCACTAAAACTAATGCATAAATCATCACAGTTAACTTTTGTTTTTGAGGGATTGGATCCAGACAGCCTCTGATCCTGAATGTTGCAGAAAAAACATTGAATTTGTTGCCGTAAAGCTTCAGGTCTCACAAAGTGAGTGGATTTTGCAGAGTCAGCATGTCATGATGTTCTATTCTTTACCCAGAATTAGTTGAAGATTGTATAATATTATGTTGCAATATATCACTTACGCTTACCATACCATCCATGTTTGGTCTCTTTAACATTTACACATGCGAGACTCCGAGAGATTAACCTTATTTCCTTTTGTTTTTCTTTTATCTCCTAGTTTCCAGTTCCTTATGTTAACTCATATTGGCATTTAACTCAGAACTAGCACTTCATATGTGTTACACAGCACAACTATATTTGTCGTATATGATGACATTTTAGACCCCTCCTGTCTGCTGTCGGTCATGATTACTTCCTTGGTTGTCGTTCATGCCTCCTGTGATGCATCACCTCATTGTTATGCAAGGCATGCAGATCTAAGTGCAACGTATTGACAAGAAAAGACTGATGGTGTCAGTGGTCTAATCTAATCTATGCATAACAGCCTAGGTCAAGCAGGTTCAGTTTCTGTGAAAAGGCTCATGCAGAAGCTGCAGCCGCAAATGAAAGGAAAAGAGTTTTTCTGAGGTTGAGAACAAACAATCAGAAACATGTCGTCTCTTTTTGTCTCCAAGTTATTAATTCACTGCGTCAGCTGCAAATGTTTGTGTACAGTCATGGACCGGTCACCTCTTTCTGCTATCTCTTCTGTTGACCGTCCAGAGTTCATGATTCAGCCCATCTCCTCCACTGAACACCAGTCTGTTTATGTGAGCTCCTCCTATTTGTCTCAAATAAAAGAACTCTGACTGTGTTTACGTTCTCCTGCTGCATCCTCCTCCTCCTCATAGTCATGAACAAATACTCAAAGCTGGCACTTGTTCAGTTCGATAACCATTAGGCTGAACTTGCCTCACAAAAGGTTTAGAGATTATACGCTCCACCTGAAGAACCGGTTTCTCTTTTTTTGGCAGCTAAAACTCCGCAGTAAAAAAGCTGAAAGCTGACTGAATGACTGTTTTTACTCAGAGTCAGAAATATTAAACACAGTTCTTCAGATTTTTACACACTGACAAAACTATGCATGGTTTCTGTAGAGAATGCATCAACAATACGTTTTTGTGTTTTACAGGAGACATCTGTAACAATCCAGCTGTCAAACAAAAACAGAAAACTGAGCACAATGTAGTTCAGTCTCATAAAAAAAGTGCTGGAAGATTTTCTCAGGTCATCATTTGATGAAAATGTCAAGTGCTGGTGTCTGTTTTCTATTTGAATCACTAAGGATCTGATCTCTGTATAAAACGATGGAGCCTGCAGGCCTGGGAGTGGACTTCAGTATGAGAAGTGTTGTAGTTTCTGTTTGTAGTGCATTAGAGGTCAGAGTAGTATGAGTATCAGCAGGCGTTTCCAGGAAAAACAGCCTGTATGGAGAGCAAAAGCAGGCAGAACACAGTCCAGTAACACAACAAGGACACTCTGGCTCTCAACAGAGTTTAAGGCCGACTTTCTCACTCCTCAACAGAAGTAGATAAACTATTTGACATCTTCTTTGGGTAGTTTAGTGTGTCCAACAACCTACGTGCTGTAGCTCTGCCTTTTCACTCTGAGTTTGGTTATTCGTTGTTTGAAAGATATTCTGATTCTGATGTTATTACAACAAAGTTTTAGGGGCAAATTACAATTTTTTAAAAAAGTTTTTAATGAAAAATTTAAGTCTTTAAAGAGAATAAAGTAATTATGTTAATAATGACTGAACCATGACTTAACTAACACGAGAGAAGGACTTGAATCTTTTTTTTTTTTTTAATTTTTAAGAATATATTGTTATATGTATCTTTAATCTATATTTAATGTATATGATCCACTGTACTGAATTTGTTTTCATTTTCATTTCATTTCATTGTTTTCATGTTTATTCGCATCTATGAAACTATAAAGCTTGATTTGAGGGGATATTATGCTTTTCCACATTTACAAAGTTTTGGTGTCCATACTAGATGTATGCACATTTTCAAATCACAAAGGAAGTCAATGTTGTGATTATCCATGAAAATAGACAGCTCAAAACGGTTCATTGGGAAATCACAAAAGATCACACCACGCCTCTATGAAAGTAAAGAGATGTTTCTTAACTCTAACATTATAACCAGAACATAACTGGAGTTTCATAGCCGTAATCATAATCATAAGGATACCTTAACTTTTCTCAGAGTCTGTTTGAAAGAGTGAAACTGAAAGAGGAAGAACCGTCACCACAGACGCAGTGAATCTTTTCTTTCTGACGTGTTTTCATGATCAAACACTCACTGTCTCGTTTGCCTCTGCGAAACGACGACCACATGGCGCTGAATCTCTTGAGTGCCCCCTGTCGTTCACCTTCATCTTCACTTGAGGGGAGGTCTGCAGGAGGATGAAAACAAGAACATTAGACCGCCGTACAAGGACATACGTTTACAAGTGTTTCAAGTGTTCCGGTGCTATAAACAGTCATTGAGATGTACAAAGAAGGGGGAAAACAGGCCTCGTCACTCCCACTGCTGTACTTACTGTGTTTTCCAGTGACGTCAGAGATGATGTTACCTTTGGGCTGCTCACCTGGACAAAAAAAAAACAAAAACAAGAAAAGTTTGGTGAATCCTTGGCTCTGATACTATTACTGCCCAAAACTGTGATCTACGATGGAGTACTAGGGACAGTTTTACCCCAAATGACTGAGATATTTCCAGAAACTGTGGCTCAGTTTCTCAAGACTCTGAACATAAAGAGTGTTCAGCCACACCAGAAACAAATATGCTGAAGCAGACCACTTTGTTTTCAGCTGAGATTTTATCTCCGACTCAGCCACAGGTAAACACAGCCTGATGCTGTAGATCTATCATAAAATAAGGGTTGCCTTAGCAGTGTGCTGTCGGGGTGTCTGACGTCATGTTTTTACAGAAAGCGTGTGCACCACGTTAAGTCAATGTCAAAGTCTCTGATTGGTCTTACAGCCCAACCTGCACACTGAAAAATCAACTACTGATACAAAACTAGAAACTAAATTTAAATAAAGGAAAACTCATCTCTCTAAAGAAACCACCAGTGAGTTTGATAATTCAGGGATTTCCCCAATAGTCCTCCTCTATCTGCTAAAGGTCTGCTGAATCATCTGTTTACATTAGACTGTGAGTGGGAGATTTTAAAGCCTGTGCTGCATTCAGGCCACGTGGGAAAAAACACTATCAATGGGATAATCTGTCCAATTTATCTTTAAGAGAGAAAAAAAAGGAGGAAGCTTTTAAGACCTCTGCCTGTAGCTGATTCAGATAATAACTCCCATCCTTTAAACAATGAGGCTCACAGGGAAACAAGGGTTTGATGATGTCAGATTTCTTCAAAATAAAAGTGAAAGTAAGAGGGATTCCCACAGACACCAGGAAAGTTTGGGGATTTGGTTGAACTCTTTTTCCATCTAGACTGAAAGTGAGTCTTAGGTGATCTGTTAAAGCCCTGAAATATTTTGGTCACATTACAAGAGGCTGCATGATCTCAATGGAAGTGGAACAAGAGTATAAGAAATTTAAATGAAGATTATTGATCTAGTTACATAAACATCCACAGACCAAATTTTAAGGTTTATGCAACAAAAAAACCATTAGTACAGGGAAGAAACGTGCTCTCGGTCCAGTTTCACTTTCATTTGTAGGAATAAAAGTGAAAACAGCAAGACAGCAAGCAGGTGAGGTAATCCAGCCTTCCTTTGTCCGGGTTGGAGTTATTCTAGTTAAAACCGCTGAGCCAGAGTCAACTTTAAAACTCATTTACATCCCTGGACTGAAAGATTTCTACACATACTATTTAAAAAGTGAATTCAAACTAAAACTTCATGAACAGAGCAACACAAAACAGTCTCATCGTTGTAAAAATTTTGTTTTTTTAAACCTGCTCTTGGACCTAAACTCCAGCCTGACTCTAGACCTCTGTTGGGATCAAGATAATCCTGATCTTTTTAGTTCAAAGTTCCTCTAACCCCTCTTAAAAGTTTTGAACATTAATTGTTGGTTTTATGAGGATAAAACTAAAATGGGATCACCTCAAGACATCTGACTTTTTGCTTTTGAACAAAGCACTTTCAAGACACAATCTAATCCAACCTGAGAGCTTTAATCCAATCAAATCACTTTTGAACACTCAGGTCCTGTTGACAAAATCTCTCTGTGGATAATCCACAGCAGCTCAGACTTGGTGTGTCTTTTTTGGGATGCACTCTAGTTTTCCATCTAGCCGTGACTTGGATAAAAAGATTAATAGCCTCCTTTTTTCCTAACGGTTGTTAGCTTAGCTTAGTTTAGCATAGATATGACATGAAATGGAGGTCAACAGCAAAGGTAACAAAATCCCCTGTCAGCCAAACTTGCAAAACGACCAGAGTGTAGAGAAGTATATTGTGGTTTTAGAGGGGGGTCGTGACATGTGCTGACCTATTTCTTGGCTAAGTCTACAGGAAGAGACTGTTTTCTGTCTTCTTATCAAACTCCCCTAAAATGAGAGAAATTCCTCCGATGCAGACCTTTTCCTCTCAGTCCTGCTGTCAAAAATGTTACCTCTGCATAAATTTCATTTCCAACGTTGATAACGGCTCATTGTTTTTGCACTACCCCCTCTGTTCCCAACACTCTGTAAACATGAGTGAACCCAGGAGACCAGTTTCTGGAGAAATGTTGTCCCATTCTTGCCTGATTCAGAGTATGGTTTGTCATTGCCTTGCTGAAATATGAAGGTCTTCCCTGAAAAAGTCATCGATGGCAGCAGATGTTGCTCCTAAAGCTGAGAACAAGCCAAGTAGTCCCTCTGCTCTTCAGAGAGGAGGATGCAGTATCCATGATTTCCAAAAAGAATGTCAAATTTTGATTTGTCAGTCCATCTTATGTGAGCTCAGGTCCAGAGGTGTCTCTGCTGTGTCTGGATCATGTTTCTGTCTGGTTTGAACTAGGGATGGGCGATAAATTATCGTTCCCGATTTACCATCAGAAAATTCCTCCACTACAAATATTTGCCATCCCACGATAAATGCGATAAATGCAAGTTGATGACAGAAGCGCGAGCGACGGGCTCACAGCCATAGCCCACACAGAGCAGAAAGCAAACAAACATGGCTGAAGGTAATAAAGAAGACGTTTCTGAGCAGCTCTTTAGTGAACGAGGCTCCACATGAGGGATTTCCTTCAAGATTGGGGCGTAGACGTACGCAATCAGGTATGCATGACATCAGACAGTGGATCTGCTGCTGTTCACTCTGTGCAAAAAGAGTTTTCAACAAATGTTAAAAATGTTTTCACATTTAAGACTTGTTTGATGTCACTAGTTTTCTCTATGACCTACCACTTAAACTTGTGGTTAAGTATCTTATTTGACTACTCCAACTGGTAAGTGCCATCCAAAAACAATGATTTTGGGGCTCTCAAGACAGAATGACTCAAAAATATAGATTGGAATTACAATATTTTTTATCGTGACTTTTATCGTTATCACCAGAATGGCAAAACTTATTGTGCTAAATTTTTTTGCCTATATCGCCCATCCCTAGTTTGAGCCTCATTTGTGGATGCAGTGATGATCTGTGTTCAAAGACATGGTTTTTGAAAGTGACTTAGAGCCAATGCTGTGATTTCCACTACAGAGTCTTGTCTGTTTTAAGTGCAGAGCTGCCTGGCTCAGCCTCTCTGAATGTTTCTTTTTATACCCAGTCATGTGACTAACTTGTTGAAAACTAACTCCAATAGTTGGCAGAGGTTCCTCTAGATGTTTATTTATTTATTTTTGCATCATAGGCTCTACTTTTTCAGGGTTTTTGTTGTCACTGTCCCACTTTTCTGAAATGCCTTTTAGTTTCGATGTTTTTTTTTTGTGTTTGCACCGGTTTCAGTCAAATATTTGATGTGTTGGGGAGAAGTGACCCTGGCACATCAAATAGAAACTCTATAACTTTATAAACCTTCAATTCTGCTATTGTGCAAAGCAGCATTCATTATTCTGTAATTGTCTGTACAAAGATACTGTGGTTGAACCAGTTTTCAATAAAAGGCTGAGACAGATCAGCCCAGATATGAGGTGAACATGATTCACTCAGCAGGATGTAACGTGTCCTCTGTTTGTAAAGATGGTAGTCGCACAGAAACTCGATCTCCTATCCTTAGGGGATCACTTTAAGACAGAACTGAGACAAAACCTTCTTTCCTATAGAAAACACACTACTGACAAATCAAACCTCACAGTATTTGTCCTTGTAGATGTGTTTAAAGGAATAAAGTGCACAAAGACTGAGTTCAGCTGTGTGTATCCAGACAAAGACGGAGTCCCACTGGACATTGTTCAGGTTTCCTTCTGGCTCCGCTGCCTGGTTTCTAACAACAACCTTAAATGAAGCACATAATACACACTCACTCTGTTGCCAGGATGAGGTGTTTGCACCGTAACAGAAGCAACGGCTGAGTTTCTACACTCAGCGCCTTGCAGTTGCACAACTTGTGCACCGAAGCAGCAGCAGACAAACATAAAAAAATGTGCAGCATCTGAATTTTCTGTGTCATTTGTCTCACAGCTCTTCTCCAGCCTGTATGTATGTTCTGTTCGGTTTGTGCTTCTGCCGTTCAGCTGTGATCAGGGTGTAAATAACAGTCCAGTTTAACAGCTTCTTCGTGCCCTGAGGCTGCTGAACATGTCGGGACAGCATACTGACAAATCTACAAGAAAAGGAATGGAGCAGTCACTAATGCCAGACCAAAACTTTGTGGTTATTTAGAAAACCTGCAATCTTGACTCTGACACAGAGCTGCTGTTTATCTCCTTATCCAATAAAATAATGAAACGATCATAGCAGGTAGACTTGGTGTCATCAGAGTAAACACACACACACATTCTAGGACAAACATGCCGAGTGGAGTCTCACCTGAGGTTGGCTGTGTATGAGGGTGTTCAAATATGAAGGGTTGTCTGGTATTTCTGACAAAACCTGTGTTTCCAGCAGCTCACAGCACAAACAGGATATTTCTGACCTTCTTTCTAGTGTCACAAGGCTTCACAGTTAACTAGAGGGCTAATTTTAACACAATAAACAGAAGATAGTTAATGGAGTGAGGAACAAAATGTTAATTTGAGTTCAAAAATACACCAAACTTCTCAAGTAAATTGTGAGTTAGCTATTGCCATTCAGCGTGCAGTGACTGCAGCAAACTAAAGACAGGTCTATAGGAAAAGTATAAGTCAGGCACTGCTCCAAACAATGCGTACAACACATTCACTAACGCAACAAGTAAAGTCAGCAAAAAAGCTGGACTTTAAGAGGAAGGGAGACATCCTGATGAGAGTGAAAGAGCCGAAAATATTACAAAGAAGATGGTTGAATTCATAGATTTGGAAAACCAGCTCATCACCATCTTTTGGATCCTAAGCTACATGCCAAAAGTTGAAAAATCTTTTGGTCAACTTGTTTAATTTAGCTATTTAGTCAAGAAATAAACAAAAAACACAGTGCATCTCTAACTAGGCTAAAGCAAGTATCAGAAACGGACTTTGTATCCACAGATACTCAAATGATCAGAGCAGGATCAGGGTCCAAATAAACTGATTGGTAGACCCTCTATCAAGCTTTTTTTGGGGGGTAAGGCTATGGAATAAATATTTGCATTATAGTTTCTGCATTAATTCATTTAGGAATCAATTAATTTAAACTTTGCACCAGAAGGGGTCCATGATTTGATTTGACTGGCATATAGCTGCACTGTAAATTCTTCAGCTCAAGAGACATCAAACTTATTAGAAACTTATTATCTAATCACACAAATTGTTCAGAGTGGAAAGGAGAACCAAAAACAGGTACAAAGAGAATGACGGTGAGAACGCTGAAGCCAAAACACGAGAGACACATTGTTTAAGCGTTACAGTGTTTCAGGTGAGGCGTAACAGGGTTCATTTAAATTCCAATACCTGCCAAACTTCATTCAGAACATCAAATTTGTTCAGGGCGCCTCGTTGTTTGAGGTACCGACCTAAATACACGATTGGAAAGCACGTCATCAGTGTTCTGAATTCTTCATGTATACAATGTTTTAAAGAGCTTGATGGGGCCTTACAGTGATTAAAACACCTCGAGTTTAATGCAATAAACACTTGAGAGTTGCGGCTAACATTTGACTGTTAAAGCATTGTTTTCTTTAGGGTAAGGCAACACAGCACCAATTTAGATCCCATGCCAATCATGATTGCGTGGTTTGTGAACTGAAGTTGACACCCAAGTCATTTTATAAAGCAACCTTGCAACATTTCTGAATTAATTGTTTCCCTGCACATTTTAATTCAGCACGTGGCAGCAAACATTGTGAAAATGCCACTAAGTTTTATTGTTTTTATTTGACCTTTATTTAACCAGATAAAACCCATTGTGATTAAGATCTCTTTCACGGATCTGGCCAAGAGGTCAGCAGCACACATGAAAAGTAATCAAAAATCTGTAAATGATAGCTCAAACTTGATGGACTCAGTCTAACGATAGATATATTTGCATGAGAAAGGCACTGCAGCAGACTGGGGCCACACTGTTAAAGATATTTTCCTTTAGATAAGGCTACATGACATCCATTTACAATCTGGTACAAACTAAAAGTCATTTAATAGCCAATTAATATTTTGTTGCTACCCAAATACTACAAAACAAACCTCATTGTGACTTCAAAACAACTTAATATTCAGCTAAAGAGGCTTCAAAGCCATCATAAATCTGTAATTTGATCAAATTAATGGTTCAGAGTTGGAAGAAATACAGATAGGTGGCTTACAAAGGTGATCACAATGGGGAAAAAAAACAAGAAGCAATAAGTTTCGAAGGCTATTTAGTTAGTTGTTCATCTCCTCCAGATGTCATGTAGTTTTAAGGTAATTCAGTGTTTCCGCTTCAGTCGTTTGTTGTTTCGATTTGGCAACGTTGCTTAATAAACCATCAGAGATCATTATCAGATTCAGCACGCACTTTACTCCAAAAATTGATAAATTTAGCTCCAAGAGCTTCAAAGTGATCCAAAATCTTTTGTAATAAATGAAACAGCCAAATATTCCTAGACTAAGATCTGAGGACAGGTACATAGGTGTTACAAAAGTGAGTAAACTAGACGAAAAAGTCTGACGTGGTTTCACTGCTGTTACATAGCTGTAAAGGAGTCCAGTATCATGTTAAAATCACATATCCGCCGAACTTTATTGAGCTATTTTTGAATTTATCCTCGGTCGTTTGTTGCACCGACTTGGCATCACTACCAAACAAATCCAGGGAGACCATAAATCAATTCGGCTTGTTTATATATCACCTTACAGCACTCCCATTAACTTTATTAATCCACAGAAGTCGATAAAATAAACATTAGAGGAGCGCTGTGAGCGGACTCTTAAAGTGGACCGAACTTAAATTGGTGTTTTTCTGAACGTGGACTGGTTGACGGCTCGATACCCGGATATGAAAAGGGCACAACCTGCTCCAGGGAACATCGCACGTTCCGACAGGTGTGCCACAGCCGATAAAAATAGACCCTCCGACAGAAAGGTGTGTTTTTGGAGCTCTTATCCGCTCTTTCACAGACTTTGAATCCGGTTATTTCGCATAAAGCTAATGATAGAGGATATTTAATAGTGCTAGATATTCGGCTGTGTCAGCGGTCCAGTACTCACTCCATCGGTTCTTTAAGTCCGCCAGTCTGTGTCCTTTCCTTCTCCTCGTTACTGCTTCACTCATCTCTGCTTTAATCTACAGTCACTGGGTGTAAAAAGTCCTAAATCCACTCTTTATCGTCTCCATTCCTGTAAACACATCCCATCCTGACTCGGTCCTCCACAAGCCCTCGTGCTTCACAGACTGAATCTCCTCTGTCGGCTGTTCGCTGGAGCCCACAGCGGTCCTCTCCTGTGCTGCGTTCAAGTCACGCAATAAAAAACGGTCCGCAGAGTTTTTCTTGCTCCCAGTGAACACAGCACGTTCAAAACGAACAACAAACTCATGAAACAAAAAGTTTTTAAAGATGCAGCGAGTCGTGTTTGGTTGTCCATAAGTATGTTTAATACTTATGCACAATATAAGCAATTATTATTAGTAATTATAATTAAAAAAAAACATGTTATGTTTGTTAGCTTAGAAAATAAGCTGCAGAATTGAATTTTTGTTTCCACAAGAGCGCAAAATGGACACATTTATGACAGAGTACAAGGGACCGTTTATGAATATAGAATTAAAAATTTGGGATTGAAACAGGCTATTAACTTAAAAAAGAAGCCATAGTCTAAATTTAAGAAATTTAAAAAAGGGTGGGTCGTTGATGTGCACAAAAAAATAATAATAGACCATTCTTTTGGTTAAAATCTGTCAACAGGAGGATTAATTTTGCATGCATCACATATCCTCAAAGGCCGCTGTTGCTTCACTAAGAGGAGGGGTGAGCAAGGGAGCATTTCCGTAAATTGACTGATAGTTTTCTTTAAATATTCTTTATATATTCACATACTGTAGCTTGAACTTTGAGTCAACAAGGAGTAAAAGTAAATTAACTCAAGTCACACTCAAATGTGTGACTTGAAGTTTGTTTGGCTGAATACCTCGACTCCATCTCAACTCAAGTTCTTCTTCCATGACTAAAAGTAAAAGGATTAAGAGGCAAACAACAACAGAAAAAAACGTCATGCAAGTCTTTCAGGCCACCCAGTGTAAACAGTCAAACAACAGCCTGCAGGCGGTGACTCAGATTTCTGCAGAGGCTACAGGAGCTTCTTTACATTCCTAGGAACTTGTTCATCGTCAGAGAGCTGAGTCAGACTCAGTCATCAGTCATTTTTTTTTTTACCTTCACAAGAACATTGAGACAGGTTGAAATTTTAGAGAAAATGTTGTATACAAACACTTTCTGCTCATAGAAAGTCCAGTTCTTTTTACAGACCAGGGCTCTGAGGAAGCTTAAAAACTCACAGTTAAGATCACTCTAGTCATGTAGCCTTCAAAAACCTGGCTAAATCAGTTTTTTAGGGAGTTTACTGCCAGTATAGCAATCTAAATGACTTCAAGTTTTAAGCTTCTGTCTCCACTGGGCGGTCATGTCAAAGGTGCATTTACTGCACCTAAGAAGACACCAAAGTGTATTCTCTCCTTTACAATGCTGTAGGGCACCTGAACATGTTTCCTTCACTAAAAAGTCATCCACAAAGGCCTTATTTTTTGTTATTATTATCATACCAGAAGCAATAGAAGGCTGCTGTGAAGGCTCATCCACCATGTTTTCATTTTTTCTGCTAGAAAGGCATCCCCTCGCTTTGCTGCATCTCTTTTACAGGAATCTCACCCTAATGGATTCTTTCAAATAGAAGGCATTTGAACACGGACAATCGTACTATGATATCTGTATTTTAACTGAAAGGCATTCATGTTTTTTTTATTAAGGACAAAATGTATTTTCTCCTCTAATTAGCCATATAAAGGGTATTATATTTGCAGTAACTGTTGTGAGCCTATACTTGCAGAGTGAAGATGTCTGGTTACTGAGAGGATTTTATTTTCTGCCACGTACTCACCTAGCTCTGTTTGCCCTCTGTTAAACCACAACCCAATATAGATAGTAAATGTCACTTAAGAGGTTGTTACCCGTCAACTGGTTTCCAAGTGTCAGATAAATAGGAGTGTGATCGTGACGCACGCATGACACAGCAGGTTCAGATCAGATAAAGAAAACATGACCTCAGTGCTTAATCTAAAAACACACTCTCTGCAGCGTTCATGCTCTCATGTACCTGCTTTCTTCACCTGGTCCTTAGAGGTGAACGGCTGTAAGGTCCTGTCTTCATCTGGGACGGCCTCTAAAATGAAGCAAAGGTCAAACAAAGCATGTGTCAAAAGCTGTGAGCTGTTCCTGTTTCCATAAAGAATAAAACCATGTATCTATGATGTAAAAAGGCTAAATGAGAAAAGCAGAGGAACTGAGGTACAGAAATACTTTGTGACCTTTTCTTGATCCTTCTCGTACAGATGAAAAAGACTTCAGTCCTCTCCTCTGCGTGAATCCGCTCTCCTCAGAGCTGTTGTTTCTTTCTGCAGAAAAATTAATGTAATAAAAGAGTTATCGATCGGTTAGAAGGTAAAATAAATATAGGTAATATCTAACAATGACATTCCCGACTTACTTTTGACTCGGAGAGACGAAAAGCTGAAACTCCTCCTTGAGTTTGGGGACAGACGCTGCGCTGAATTCTGAGAGGGAAGAAAATGAAGACATATTGAATGAACGATGGAAACAGAACCACAAACTGGTTCCAAATGAAAACACTTTCCCACTATTTTGACTCTCAAAGTCACTTGTCTTCATGCTCATTGGTTCCCTTATTGATGTGACGACTACCTCACATAGCGAGGCAGTCGGCGCTAACAACAACCAAGGAACATGATCATGGTGAACGAAAGACAGAAACAGTCCAAGTGCTGCCCCCCTGGTTGTGATGTTGACATGTACAGTGCATCCGGAAAGTATTCATACCACTTCACTTTTTCCACATTTTGTTATGTTACAGCCTTATTCCAGAATGGATTAAATTCCCTTTTTCCCTCGAAAATTCTACTCAAAATACCCCATAATGACAAAGGGAAAAACTATTTTTAGAACATTTTGCAAATTTATTCAAAATAAGAACATTCAAATGTTGCATATACATACAGTAGTTATTGTAAGACTGGTTTGTGCTCAAGTCTTCTTTTTTTCTGTGCAGCTCCATTTTTAAAAGTTATTAGGGGGTTCATGTATTTGTTGAACATCTGGAGGATCCGCTGTTTAAGCAGATTGTCATCACAGCTACTCTCCTGCTGCACGCTACTGCACCAATGCCGGTTTCAGGAAATGGAGAAAATCCCAGTAATACCGGAAGCATTTTGGCTTCAAATTTATATTTGGGAGGTGGAGTCGCGTTGTCCATACTATATACAGTCAATGGTCTGATCAGAAGCCAGGTTATGTCTCAACAGAGCAGTACAGGTAGAAGGACTTGAGGTCACCTTTGTGTTGTTGTCTCTGTGAATCTGTACACCGACTATTTTTCCACACAAGGAATGATAAGAGAATCTTTTATAACCTGAGTTAATAAGCAGAGTCAATAATAGCATTGGTTTAAATGAAATCTGCTGGTGGCCGTGCTTTTCATTGTCCACTAAGGAACTGTACTAAATCCTTTTCAGACCAAATATTTTTGTCTTTTTTTCTTTGAGGTGATCTTCCCGATCTGCAGAATATTGTTTTCCTGTGCCTGTTAAAACTCTTGCAAGTTGTTTTGTGGTATGAAGTGAGAATCATGCTTCACAGTTACTGTGTTTCTCAGCTGTGTCGGCCTAAACACTTCAGATCAGCACAGGGTGACCATACTTTCAAAACAACAAATAGGATAGTTGCTGAAGTAGGAAGCTGAGGCCCTCCTGGAGCTCCTTAGAAATGCTGACTTCCTTTTCTGCATGACAACTAGCTGACTTAATGTTACGCTATACAGATCTTATCATGATGATAACCTGAGCCATGCGCCATGAGTAAATGACTAATGCAAAGACAAATCCATACTTAATTTTGACTTGTTGTGCATTGAGAGGTTTTTCTGTTGATCAAAAAAGCAACAACACTGACTGACATGTAAACAGACGTATTAGTGATTTATGGATACTTGTTGGTGCTCAGGACTTGGAGCTTGAAAACTGGATCGCTCTGGTCAAACTGAAGTGTATCATCACCTTAAAAAATTCAGGAACTTTAGAAATTTAGAAGCAAACATGAAAACTGGATATGCAGCATTTTCCCTTTGCAGCTTTTGGTTTAAGTGACTTCACAATCTTTATGGTGTTTGCAGCATTTTTATGGTCAATGCAGATGTTCAAGCTTTTGCAGTACACTCTATCATCTCCAGAGCTTTTGCATAGTTGTAGGCTTTAGTGCATGTTTCTTTTTTAATTTGCAGCCTGTTTCTCCCATTGGAAATCATTTAGACTATTGCAGCAGAATGTCCCTGGTTGGTAAGATTAAGCAACATTTGCTGACTTTAAATCTTCAGAGCTCTTCCCACACAAACTTTTGATGAAATATGTTGATTATGTAAGAAAATTCTGGATCACGACTGTAACCCAACCCACTAAACCCTTTGACCTTTTCAAGATTGGAGTGAGTCATTGTCAAGAGCGAGGAATTCAACAGCTCAGATCGTCCAGAGAGTTCTTGTCTTTGTTTATTTGCTCCAATGTGACCTTAAAAACTTGTGTCAGTGTTTAGCTGTAGTAACCAACACAAGCTAACACTAGTTTACAGACACCATTCCACTGCTACCTCTGAGCCAGAGCTGCAGCTTTAACGGTTAGCTGTGCTGGTGACCCCCGTGTGAACGCTCCTCTGGGAGCTCATACTGCATGTTCTGTATATGAACGTTACTGGTTCTGCATGGGAAGACACGATCGCTATTTTTAGTCCTCCAAATGAGAGGACACGAAGGGTTCCCTATGGGAAAACTCTGCAGCTATATAAACCATTAGAGTCACAGAGGAATGCATCGGCACAGGGTTACTGGAGCAAAACACTGGGTCATATACGTCTGCAGAAGTAAACAGCATTTATTTTTTCTGTGTTTGTCATTGACCTAAATTATCTAAGTTTCTAAAGAACTTCTTTTTTTATTATTCAGTTTTTCCTGAGAAAAGTCCCCTATATCCCTTCTCACAGCAGGAAGTAATGAGTTTAATATTTCTTGATTGTTTTAAATCAATTAAAAGTGAATGTGATCAGCAGTGCAGAGGGAAAAAAAACAAGTCAATAACACAACGTACACTGAGACAAGTGTGTTCATATAGCAAACAAGGAAGTACAGATGCCACAGAAAACCATTAGAGTTCTACAGTGGTTTGGAGGCTGACTCCAAAAACACTTCAAACCCATGAAAAGAAAAAAGAGCAAAAGAAATGCAAAGCTTAAAAACACGCCTTCACACACAAAATGTCAAGAAGTGACATTTTGTGCACAAAAAATGCATAAAATTTTCAAAGCAAAAAGATACAAAATGTTATTCATGAATTTAAATGTAAAAGTTTTTTTATTTTTTTATTTTAATGGATGCAATTTCAGTTATGTTATGCAGACTTATTGAATGAACCCAAACTGTCATTTTATTCTGTTAATTTAATTCACATTGTGTCTTTTGTAAAGTTGCAGACATGTTGACAACCCACCTCCACTGTATCAAACCTCAAGACTATATGTGCCGACCCCTCAGGAAGCTGTTCACTGCTTCGGCAGACAGCTGTTATGTTTTCATGAATCAGTTCCTGCACTTAACTTCCACTAAAACCACAAACAGTCAGTTTATCATCTGCTTATGAAAGACATCAACAGATATGAAGCATGCTGCAGAGGAGTTTGTAAACTGAACTGAAGACTGAGTCAGGCTAGCTCAAGTGTTCATACTGAGCAATCATAAACAGCTATGCTAACCGTTTTTGATCAAAAGAAACAAGGTTTATACTTTACTTCACCTTCATCTAACATCACCAAAAGATTTGCAGGTGGTTTTACTGCTGCTCAAACAGGTTTAACATTCATGTCAGTAACAGACTGTGGGTGTGAACTTTATTTACGAACAGAAACAGTCTCTTCAGGGTGAAACACAAAGTAGCAAACCTGAAAAAACTACTGTAAAAATGAGAGAGACTCTGTAGACTCTGTGCAGGACTGCTGTTAGTGTATCTGGAATAGATTTGATGCTGCTTAATGGTTAGCAGAGCAACAATTGGCTCCGCTAAGGGTAGATTATGCCTAAAAGCAACCTACCAGCTCTTATACTTCAATTTTAAATGTCAAAATTTCCCTTCTTTAATTTCTGCCAGTTGCACAGTTTGTAAAAAGGTTCAATGAAAAGTGACCTTTCAAGATGCCCCAGTCTTTGCAGAGTCTTGTAATGACTGAAATGTCCTTAAATGAGACAGACATAAATGTAACACAGCTATAGTTAATAAAATTATGCAAACAAATTTTCTGCAAGTGTTTGTTAAAGTCTCCTGTCTCCTTTTGAACTGCCCCACTTCACTCCAGTGAACCTTTATGCTAACCATGCTAGTTTTACAGATGCAGTTGGTGCTCATGATATGAATCTGTGTGAAATGACAACTTTAACCTAAAACTGTGTCAGGTGCAGATCGTGCTTCTTTCACTAATGTAACAATAGTCATGAATGTATGAAGGGTTGGTTTAAGTCTCTTAAAGTCATAGTGTGAGTGGGCTGAATTTACGTGGTCGTCACTTTTTCAGAGGGCAGCATTGATCCCCCACTTTTTACAATGCAAAAACTAATATTATCTTAAAAAATAAAGGAGAAACAGCAGTACTACGACCACATGGAAACAGCCCCTGGTTAATCTGTTAGTCCCTGCCCCCCCCTGTCTTCAACAGGTGAGACTGCGGCTTGTGCAGGCCTATGTCTCAGGTAAATGGTGTTATTAGCAATAATGTCCAAACCCAATTGTACTGAGGTATGAGATAAAAGAAACACTGAAAAGAAGAAACTTCTTGTGAGAAGACTCATAATCCCAGCTTCACTCATGTTAATCATGCAGGGGACTAAAAACAGCATCATCTTTAATTGGCTTCTTTCCACATTGATAAACATTAGAGGTGATCTTCCTGTTCTTCCTGGGTATATATATTTAAAATACTGACCCCTACAGCATACTACTTGTGTTAACTCACACCAAAAGCACCTCCAAACCTTCAGACCAGGATGCAAATGTTTCTAGAGACCTCAGGCTAATGTTTCTTTCTGCGTCTGCACTCATTCCTCCTCTGGTTATCTCTCTCTTCAAACAACAGATGGCTGCAGGCGGCCAGAGTGACCACGCCTTGAAAACACACAATACACACCAAGCTCATCGGAGACACACACTTTTATGACACAATTACAGTGTGTCTTCATCTTATCTCTTCAACCTCAATAAAATAAAGCTGTTTAATTTTCCCCTGTAACCACACCCATAATACAGGCAGACATGTCTTCATGCTCTTCATCTGTTTAAGTTGTCAGCAGCACTGAAGTCGAGCTAACAGCAGCAACAGCGATGCTCCTGCAATGAGGCATCATTGAGCCGAGTGGTTTCGTGCCACATAACCACAGTGCCATCAGTTTGATCGTAACCAATGACCTCTATTCCATCTCAGAGATACACCCAACTGTGTCTGTCTGTTTCCTGTTGACCTCTTTACCTCTGAACTCTCCAGCAAAGGTGAAAATGTTACAAAAATATCCCTAAAGGATGTGGAAAAAAAAAGAAAATACAGGTTGTAGGAGCCATTTTTTCTCACTGCAATACCAATTTATGCCAGCGGGTGGTAGGTGTGTTTTCTTTTTGTTATAAAGATGGGAACTTTGTGTCACTGGGCAGGTGTTGCCGGACGGAAGAGCGCACAATTTTTCAACCGCTACAAGATGTGCTTTTGGCACCGCTATCTCCGTTATCGATAAATTGCTGTGTTGTTGGACTTGATCTTTCTACAAAAAATGTGAGAAATAAAAGGTCACATTAAGCGAACAAGGAGTGGACTTGATTTCATTGGACGTGCCAGTAAGTGTAGTCAGCACATTGTTAAGTTTAGCCTGTCCTGCAGCCCCTCAGTGGCTTCAAGCTGTGGCTTAGCCACTACACAGATATAGGATAAAAAAATTGTGAAAAAAAGCAATTTTTCTTTCTGCAGACTAACCAGTAAGCACAAGGTAAAAATGTTCACCCCTCAATTCGGTTCAAGGCTGCAGTGATTAAATGATTTATTAATCAAGTAATGAATTGATTATTCTGCCAGTCAGATCGGCTAATGCACAATTGCATGTCACTTATCATACTAAAATTATGCATATGAATATAACATCAATGTGACACTTAAATGGTAGCTGTTGAAGTAGATACACAGATACTCTGGCCACCCTGTCTATGTCAGTGCTCCAGCTTTGACGGACGAAATAAAACCATTATGAAGGTTATCAATTTGTCCACAGGGGGTGCCAAAGTCAACACAGACAGAAGGATTAACACAGGAGCTTTAAGCTTACCTTTAACTCACGGTGGGGTGGGAGTGGAGGGAAGTGAAATAGGGAGTAAGATATAACACCAGAATAATATACAGCACATTTTCCTGCATTAATTAATGTAATATAACAGAAAGCATTAAAGTGTAAAGTGGTTCAGATTCTGCATCTGTCCAGGATGAAGTTGTTGAATATTTTTGCAGCGTCTTTAATCAATGTTGTGCTTTGTAAGCAGTCTCTGCACACTTGAGTCATAGTTAGCTGCACAGAGAGGCTTGTTCTCCAGAGCCAAAAATAAGGAGATTTTAACGAGCACAGACTTGGTCATTTTTTGCAGTGTACACAATAGAGGTAAACATATTACCTTTGGGTGATTATCAGGCACATATTTGTCATTTGGCTGATTGTTTATCAGTGCTCATTTGGCTTTGATGCAGGTTTACCTTCGTATTTGTCTCTGGGTCTGCTTTCATGCAGTACTTTGTCTCACCTCAAGCCCCGCCCACAGAACAATCTGATTGGGGTGTAACTATCATCTGTGTGTGGCTCACTAACTCCTGTATATGATTTTGGATGTTTAGGCACTAAAACATCCCCAGTAAAAAAAATCAAAATTGCTGATTATATAAACGTCTCAGGGAAGCTTCTTGATGACAGTAACTCATTAAATAAAGTACTATCTCTCCTGGGAATAAGCCTCCTGCTCTAAAGGTTAAATGTCCTGATTTAACTTTGCTTTGACCTGAAGCTAAACATAAAAAAAATCATTGATGAATTTACACCTTAACTTACACTACCAAGGTGTAAATACACAATTAACTGCAAGTTAAACAAGCAAAGATCAATCAGACCTTCAGTCTCTTCATGCTGTGAGTAACAACAAATATCTGAAGTTGTGGAAACAGAAATAGCCTGATGGGTCAGGGTAATAAGAGCTCTTAGAGTTTATAGAAAACAGTGAAAGTAAGATAATGAGTGAAGTATTAAGAATGTATTACCAATCTCCTTTTCTAAATTACAATTAAAACAATACAAAGAAGTCATTTGTAATCAGCCCTTTATTTGACTGTTGGCCAACAGAAACAAGGTGCAGCTGAAATCCGGCTGCAGCAGGTTTGTTCTGTTATCGCTTAAGCTCAGGTGGCTTTGGTAGATGTACAGAGAGTTTCCATATCTGATATTTTCGGTTAATAACTTCACAACTTCTCACATGTTCAACCTCAAGTCAAGCGGTGTAACGCCCTCCTCAGACAACATGAAATTTGTGTGAACATGGTTCTTACCACAGGAAGTAAAAGTGGAGTTAAGATCAAAGTTCTCATTTCCTCACAGGTCATGTGACATTTATAGGAACTGCCACATGCAGTTTCTGAATTCTTATACTGCAGTTTTTTTTGTCTCACTTTGTGCGCTTTTATTTTTGATGTATCAGAGATACTGTCACAAATTACCTGTTTGTAAAGAGACAAAGAAACCAGCAGGCAAATCACAGCTGACCACTCAAACAGGTGGTGCAGCTTTAAACTCAAACACACAAAGATCAGATTTAATGAAAGAAACACTCACCACCTGCGTCTCCTGAGGAGTCCTGTCCATTTTTCTTGTCTGTGCAAGTGAAAGAAATAATTTATCCTCTTAATTCAGCTCTAGATTTCTCCTTGATCATAACTTCAATCAAAGTACCTGCTTGGGTTGACCTCTCCTCTATCAACGTGTAGCGCCGGTGTTTACTGTAAGTGTTTCAGTAACAGCAGAGCAGCAAGTGCACATGTACAAGGAAGTGCACTTGTTGAGGCGTGCGGTTGGCGGACTTCAGTCTCATGCTGGGATTTCCTCTTTCAATGCATAACCAAAGTACAGTGACGTAGACGACATGAGGGTGTGTTTAATAGTGAGCTATGTATGTGTGAGTCTCTGTGTGTTTATATTGTACGGTAAAGCCTGCTCATCAGCTTCAGGGAAATCGAAACAGCTTTGAATCAGACTTAACTCTCTGATAGTACGTTAGCAGACAAACCGGATCAGGATGGATGAAACTCATTTTGAAGCAGACCAAGTCTAGATCATTATCATTACTCCTTTTTGTGATAAATCTTATTATGAAGTGGAGGTGAAGTCAAATCTATTAAAAAGCTTATTAAAAACAGCATAATTGTGTAGTTGTTTTAAAACAAAAGATGAAGTTTTGTCTAAAAACACTTCCTTCTCATGCACAAAGCCACAGATGATTCACAGGAGGTGCTAAAGTCGACACAAACCAACAGTTCCTGAAGTTGAAATGCAAGTACCACCTTTTACACCCCATTATATGAGGTAAAATATGTTCTGCCATGTACAAATATCAGTTATCCTCCTTATACTTCAGTATTTTTCTTATATCTCTTTATGGACCTAAGCCCATCATATTTCAGAAGGAAGGATATTGTAGGGAACACTTTACCCCACGTCACTTATTTGAACGCCTGAGCTACTTGTTTTTGCAAAGACATTGAAATATAATTGGCTGTTAAAAATGATTCATTCTGTCTTATACAAATACTATGTCTTGTTGTGCACTTGACCAGTTGTACCTGCTTGAAATGTGGTGTAAGCATTTTGCATGCACTGCAGACAAACAAGGAGGGAGGACTGCCTGATATTCTTTTTGATATGTCACCACTGAGTTGATTTATTTTTAAAGTTAAAAGGAGGAGTTAAAAAATTACACACACATACGGATTAAACGCAAGCTGACAGTGGGCCAAGAGTTTTGCAAATGAAGGGTCTAAACAGACTATCCAATTTTGTAACTGGTTCATATAGTCTTTAATATTCTGAAAACACTCCTAAAGACTGAGAACTGAAGATATATACAGTATATCTGTGTGTAAAAATGTGCCATGACGAGGGGATCCACTGGCAACATGAAAAAATATTTTCCAAGTAAGATTTAAACAAATTTAGGGCTCTCCTTTGTGTTCCTACTCAATCTCTGAGCCTGGTTATAAGGAGGTTGATCTTAAAGCTTTAAAATAGCATAGTCTCCATCATTCCCTGCTGAAACAAATCACCAAACTGCTTTAAGAGCCATTTCAGTGCAGATGTGATCCCTAGTGGATCCCATATCCTGGTCGACAAAGATTTCCAAGATATGACCAAAATCAGGAGCTCAAAGGATTGGTCCCAAGTGTGATAAAATGTTGGGATTGAGGTGAATTTTTTTAAGAGGTATTGAAGTGGGACATTTTTCTGAATGTCATCTGTGAAACACTGAAAACATACACCGTATTTCTTTATGAAGGGCACTAAGAGGTAGCATGTATAACAAAAACACAAGAGGCCCTAAAACAGAGCCCCGAGGAACACCACAGGTAAGTAAGTAAGTAAGAATATCTGTTGAGAAATTGACAAACTACTACTTGCTCGAAATGGGAGGAATGCCTTTTAATGGAAAGAATCCAGGTTACAACAAGGGGGATGATAAAGCCATGAAGTACCAAGTAATGGGACTACAACAAGAAAACAATGTTCAGGGTTTGGCGTGAAAGACTGTATCCTGCAGAGAAGAGGGACCCACTGGAACAAAGTAATGAAAAACAGACCTGGCTATAGGAGGGTCAGTTCAGTTAAAGTTATGACATTTTCTCTCTTTCCAAAGACAGAACAGAAACAAAGTTAAAGTAAACTGAGCACACACCACCATACACTAAGGAGGAAATGTTTCTAGTTATTATGTTTTTGTTTCTCTGCATTGTGGACAGTATAAACAGTTTTCTTCATCTTCTTCACTTTAGCAGGTGTATTTTAAGTCTTAAACATTGATGCATACACAGATGCCAGATGGAGTTTGGGGGTTTAATCTGTTAATCTCTTGTGCAAGATTCGACTTATCTGCTGGCACAACACATGAACTTCTGCAAATAAGTGCTTGTTTTGCAACTATGGAGAGTCTGTAAGTGGACATGTGCAACACAACCAGCTAAAACATTAGCAGAAATTATAACATTATTTAACTCCTGTTAATCGGTGAGATATGTTGGACAGCAAGAGAACATTAAACTTCTAGGGAAGTATTTGGGGTGCCAATGCTAACCCTTGTCCACCATAGAAACTACCTACCATGGATGGATGAGCATGATTCCCTAATTCTCAATTCAGTCAAGCACCTGTAGGATGGGTTGGATCTGCTGCAAATGTGATGAGATGAGGGCCTATTGTACTAGACAGGTGGTCGTATGTTATGGCTGATCAGCGTAAGTGCCCAACATCTCCACCAGCTGCCTCAGGTATGTGCCAAACCACTGTGAATTATGGAGGGTAAAAAATGCAAACACTGTCCTGGCTCCAGAGCAGAGCTGCAGTCTGATTTTTCAGACGCCATCCAGCTGTGTCGCTGGATGGCGTCAGAGACCAACAGCCTCATGCAGCATAACACCAGAGAGACGGATTTGCTCAAAGACACTTTATGCTAAGAGAGAAAAAAGAGCAAAGAGATTCAGGCTTCAACAGGTGGTCCGACATTCCTGTTGTTGTATCTGGAATGAGAGAAAAAGTTGTATTTTAAGGGGCTGATCCTGCAGGCCTCCGGGGAATCATTTTGTGAGGTTTACTCAGGAGGGGAGGAATGCTGATTGTTTCCAAAGGAGGAGAAAAACACCTCCTGTTTTTTAACCACCATTAAAGGACCACAAACTTTTAGAAAGAAGTTTCCAGAGCCCTTGGCTTCAACTTGGAATATTTCTGACCTGGATACATCCGGCAGTAGATCTTTTCGGTGCTGAGTTGTAATGATTTTTATGATCTCACTCTGAAATTTGGTCTTGTGTTGCTGAACAGCTTGGATTGGACAGGCTTGGTTTGCACACAATCATAATCTGTCTTTATGGACATTTTACACAGTGCTCTAACCTTTTTTGGGAGGTAAATGTGGTTTTGTATTTAAAGCTATTTGAAAGCTATTCTTAAAACATAGAATAGATCATCAAATGAGGAGTATAACTTTTTAAAATTCAATTATGATTTCACAAATTTTCTTTTTATCATTGTCATTAACCCTCTTGTTAACCTTGCTGATTTTTCGATGAACAGGTGCATGACTGAGTAACACACGCAACACAATCAAGTCTCATTCAATCACTCCTTAATGGTGAACACTAGAGCCCCCTTCTGGGTCGATGTGGCACTGCAGTCTCCTAATTCTAACTCGAGATCGTCCCTTAAGTATGTAAAACATGATTGAAAGTGAGCTAAAATATCATATAGTTAATGAAATAGATTCAATATGGTTTTATGAGATAAAATATGATATGATAAGATATGTAATAATACAAAACAATAAGTAACAATAACATACAACTGAATATTGTACCATCCTGTGCCTCACCACATCATAGAATACAACACTTTATGATACATCATAAAACAAAACAATATGAGAGGATAGGGTGAGGTACAATATAAAACAATACATACATAATATGTTACAATACAACATGATAGGCTGTAATTTTATATGTTGCAATATGCTATGATACAATATGATAGGACACAGTATGGTACAAATGGAACAAGCTGAATGAGTGAATAAATCAGTTGATACTGAAGTGTGATCCCCCTCTGAGCATTGGCCTTCTTTGTCACACTTCTGAAAAATATCATTTTTTACTGAAGCTTGATGAGGATTTGTGTCCTTGTGCAGCAGGCTGAGGGTGAATCATATGCAAATTTCAGACAACACTGTTATCCTCATCCTCAAATCTTGAGGGAACATTTGCAACAAAGCGATAACAGACCCCTCATGTGAGTTTTATAGCCAGATTTAATTAAAAAGTAAATAACAGGAAAAACCATGACACAGGCAACAGGTGGTGTGTCTTTGGGGACTCTGTAGAAAACAGTCAGTCTCTGCAAACTCAATAAAACTTGAAGAGACATGCAGGAGTTTTACTGAATAAGTAAAATAGCACAGATGCTTTAAGAAAATATTTCACCCTCATCATTAACAGAGAAAGATTCACCACACAGTGGTATTTTCAGGAGGAGACAGGAGGACTTCATCACATCTATATCTGAACATTAAGTCTGTCATTTTCTTGTTTTTGTTCAGTGATAGACTCCTCATGTTATCACCCATGATAACAAACTGGAGTAGGTCACATCAGCCTAATAATCTTTTACTTATGTAACATAACAACAATAGGCATGTTATCAACTTCCTGTTTGATATTCTTTATTTCCCAGCTCAAGGAAACGCACAGACCTTTGACATGATTAGTTTAATGTGATAAAACTGCTGCTGGTGTCTAGACAATCACAATTAAAGGGTTAACAAACATGAATGTTTAGCGTTAAGTTTTGTAATAGAGACCTGGAACTATTTTGGTCAATAACGAGAGTATTTAAGTACTCTGTAAACTACAAAATTTCTCAATATTTCTGAAACTTTATTTCCCAAAAAAGAAAACTATAATAATGCACGTTTAAAAGGCGTGTCAGTGCTTCAGATCTTCATCGGGAGGACAGTTTCACAGCCTCTAGATGTCCTTGTGTTTTTCGGAGTTTGAAGCTTTAATGCTTCTGATCTTTATCCCTTAATTAAAGTAAAAGCCCCATAAGGCATAATATGCACACCTCTAGTCACTACCAGCTATGAGTTAAACATAAGGGAAGCGTAAGGTGAGGAATTGGCTACTAGTTACTTGTTAGTTTAACAATAGTTAAGAGGTTAAATAATAGTTGACATGTTGAAAAAGTACTCAAATTTTGCATTGTTGATAGGAAACAATGTGCATCTAACTTCTAATTAACCAGAGGTTAACCTTTACAAATTAAATGGGTTC